TTGGTAATACGCAGTTACAATCGGCCGAGTTTACACGTTTCCCGCACTCCACCGCAAATCTATATGACCGAGTTAAAGACCGCTCCCGCGGAGTACGCGCAATTCACGCGAGCCGACTTAACTCGTTTCCCGCACTCCAAGTGCTAGCTTGCCTATAAAAGTGCCATCATAGCTAATATATTAAAATCTTAAGCAAGTTGAGAAATAACAATTATTCACTACTTTGCAATTAGAGGACTTATTCCTAGATATAGATATAATTGATTTTAAATGTGAACTAATTTTATAATAGATTTAAATATGTTAAAAGAAATCCCAAATAACTCCCATTTCTGGCCATGGCAGAATAACTAAAACAAATGTGCTCTCTTATCAGCTAAAAAAAAATTAAAATATGTAAGACAATATTGGACAACAAGCAGTGCAAGACTGTGATTCTTATGAGAAGGGAAACAAATGAGGTGAGTCCTATAACTGCCCTGGCTTTCTGCTTGGAGGCAATTTCTGAACCACATAGCAAAAAAGGAGAATCCAAATAGAGCACAGAGGAATCCAAGCAGATCATAGGACACAGAGATGTAAGTTCAGGGTATCTGTAGGGCAGCTTGAATTTGTACAGCAAAGTAGCATAGATTGTCCTATTTCCTCCCTGCACCCAACTTAAAATTTTTCTGTTAAGACATAATCGTTTTATTAGGTATCCAAAGGAACTTGTGTTCGCAATTAGGGAATACATACTATAAGCTTCTTTTAGGGGTGGATATTAAAAATATTTCACAGACACAGGCACCAATCATAAAAACTAGTACAGTTATGCCATTACATATCTGATTGTCCCTGATTTTAGCATATCCTTGGCCACAGAAGTAGTTACAGTTCCATCCAATTTTTAAATATACTAGTAACAGTAAAGAGATATTAAACATCCATCTTCTAATGGGATTTAAAATTTATACAATGAGGATCAAAGTCTGAGCTTCAAACAGCAAAGAAAGATGTGTAACTTAAGGTGTTGGTACAGTGTACAAAAATACTCACTTGTCTTTACATTCAAAGAAGCCCACCTTTAATTAAGATCATCAGCTTTGATTTGTTATCAAGGGGTCACTTGATTCCTATCTTCATATATCTGGTTTGAGTAGAAGCCTACTGTCATCTACTAGATGTACTGAATTTTGTGCAGAAGAAAATTGTAAGGGATATGACATTGCAAGAAAGGATGAAGACACATGTAGTTACATGGAAGAACATGGCAACAAGTAGACTCAAAAAGACAGGGGCATTGAAAAGGATTTAAAAACACAGGGACAATGTTTACTACATGTAACAATAAAAATTATTAACTTAAAAAAAGAGTTGACAAAAAATAAAAAGAACCAGAGACATTTCTTGGACTTGGTTGAGACATTCTAGAACAGTGGTTCTCAACCTTGGCTGCACATTAGAATCACCTGGGAATCTTTTTAAAATCCTGATTTCTGGGCCTCATCCTCCAGAAATTCTGTTTCTTTGTTATGGGGTAAGGCCACAACATTAGTAACAAAGTAACAGAATTTCCAGATGATGGGGCACAGAAATCAGGATTTGAAAAAGATTCCCAGGTGATTCTAATGTGCAGCCACGGTTGAGAAGGACTGTTCTAGAAAGTGGTAACGAGCAGTGACAATACCTCTCCAGTATATTGGACACATATGTTGAGATAGGTTCAGTCATAAAGCAGTCTGTTCCCCTGTGTTCATAATTTTTAGCTGGAGGTCATTTTAGTGAAGGGTCTTGAATCTAGATTTGAATTCATCATACAAAGAAACAGAGCAAAAATAATACAAGTACGTAGAAAATTTTTAAATGGTTCATTAAAATGAAGACTAAAATAGACTAAGGGCTTCTAAAGAGCCTAGAGAAATAAGACTAGTTATTCAACAACTGTCTGATGCAATAACTGCTCAGAGTAAAAGATATAGGGTTTTCAAAACCACAAACAGGATTCTCACACAATCAGTTATAAATAAATTCCCAGCTGTGGCTTGCTTATTAGCACACCCTGGTGCTGTATATAACATGTCAGTGCATTAGAAATGCCATTGCCACTCCCTCTCCGTCCCACACCTACAGCAGAACACACTCCATGAAAAACTAAATTTTAAATTTAGTACTAAGAAGTTAATAATTAATAGCCAACTTTTCCTCCTGGAAGTGGTCATTTTGGAAATTTGGGTACAAGTATAAGAATACATAAATTATATTTTGGAAAACGTACTTTCTTAATGACAAATCAATTCTTAATGAAAACCAACTCTGATGAGTTCCTTCACATCTAAACTACTGTTTGACTTTTACTGATAACCCTGGACTAAACCAATGTGGTCCCTCAGAAAAATAATATTTCTATTTTCATTCCACTTTTTGTCTTCAGTTTACTGAAACAAACAATCTCTATTTTCAAAAACCATAAGATTACTCATAAACCAGTTAAGATGGATGCAGCGGTAACATTACTTGGTGGTCTATTAACATGTTAAGCGCCAAGCCTGTTTTGTCTTCCTTTTTTTTTAGCCCACAATATCTGATTTCACCGATATGCTGGCGGCCAGAGACCGATGAGGTCCAAACGAAAAGTATAGTGTCAGTCACCGATGACTGACATGGCACTTAACGAGTTAATAATCCAGTATACTGTCCGGGAAGGAAGAAGAGGATAAAGGGGGGGATAAATGGTAACAGGAAGAAGACTTGACTTTGGGTGGTAAACTCATAATATGACACAGATGACAGCCTACATAATAAAAGCCTAATATGCTAAGTGTCTGGTCGTCCGTGCAACCAATCAAAGTGTAATATGCTAATGATATGCTAAGGCTGTTCAACTGCTTGCTATGATATGCACTGACCACCAGGGGGCAGATGCTCCAACCAGTAGGTTAGCTTGCTGCTGGGGTCCGGCTGATTGGGACTGAGCAAGACAGGCCAGACATACCCTGGAGCCCTCCCACGTTCCCTCCCTGGCTGGCCCTGATTGTGCACCAGTGGGGTCCCTCGGCCTGGCCTGCGCCCTCTCACAATCCGGGCCCTCAGGGGGGCACATTGACTGTCAGGTAGTTCCATCTATATAATAAAAGCCTAAGCGACTGTTACGGTGGAACAACTGGTCACTATGATGCGCACTGACCAGACGCTCAACGCAGGAGCTGCCCCCTGGTGGTCAGTGCACTCCCACAGGGGGAATGCCGCTCAACTAGAAGCTGGGCTCATGGCTGGCGAGCGCAGTGGCGGTGGTGGGAGCCTCTCCCGCCTCCACAGCAGCACTAAGAGCAGCGAGCCGAGCAGTAAGGAGTGAGGGGTCCCAAACTGTGTGAGGGCGCAGGCCGGGCTGAGGGACACCCCCCCCCCAGTGCACAAATTTCATGCACCAAGCCTCTAGTATTATAGAATTGTACACCTGAGATATATATATTACCAATGTCACCCCAATAAGTTCAATAAAAAATTAAAAAATTTTTAAAAACCCAGTACATGTAATCAGCAGATATTAACAAATGGCAAAGAGAGCAGAACCTGGAGTGTAGGTTTCTCAGCATGTATGGAGGGGAACGATCAAACTTAGCCAGCTGTGCTAAGCCAGACAGAGACCTCCATGTTTATGTAGGATCACTGCAATTTGCAGACAAAGGCATTTTTCATTTGTCCACATGGTTGGTACCTGCAGGTCCCATTTTGGTGTGCTTCATTACCAGGAAGCCTTTTGCTATCCAGTCTTTTCTATATCAACTTCCTGACTACATCAGATTCTCATTTAAATACACTTTAATGCATTCAAACAAGTCATGGAAAATAAACAGGATTTGAGAACCATTAAAAAGACACACAACATACAAACTCAAAGTGATCTTTACTCAGGGAGAAAAGGTTGTAAAAAACATGTATAAGGGAAGGAGGACTGAGATACACAAAAACATTCCATACATTCACCACCCTTCCTTCTCCCTTCTCATCAAGAACCTAATCAACTTAATTTCCCTTACCACACAGCACTTAAATATTACCTCCAGACACCTAGTTTCCTTCACAGGACAATAACTCTAGGCTTTTGGATAATCTCCTGAATAAAGCTGGAGAACCATGTGCTTGTAAGGCACATCTGATGGGAAAAAGACTCTGTCTTGAAGAGGGCCTCTGAGCATGGAACTGTGAATATCTAGTTACTAGTGCTATTTGCACAATTCCTCCAGAATACTCTGAGCAAAGCTGTTTCAAGATTTCTGTACTATTTTAGTTATACCATGTAACAGTAGAAACTGCAATGAATTTAAGACAGGGAGACCTGGACCTGCATTTGGGGTCTGTCATAATATTTCTTAACTTCTTAGAGACTCAATTTCTTCAACTATAAAATAAATAACCTTAGGTTCTTTATAGAATTTTTATAAAAACTCAAAGAAAACACAGTAAAGTATCTAACCAAAAAGGAACAGGCATATTATAGACACTCAAAAAATACATGGCAGTTATTCTTATTAAAATACCCATTTCTTTATAATTAAAATACCAATTTCTTTACAGTTGTTGCAACTATGACTACCACTATATCATTCTAGTCACTATAGTTATGATCTTATAAAATTGATTAAAACCATAAAGTAGATTCTCCAGTTAAGTAGCCTTAAATTTTAACATAATTCTAACTCCTAAAAAACTAAGTAGCTGCTGGTGTTGATATTTTTTGCTCTTAAAGTAGAAGCGAGGAATATAACTGGGATCACACTAATGAAGTACAATTAGAGAAGAATATACCTGAATGGCAGCTGGCGGAGTGCACTCTATAGGTGTATCAGCAGCTGTGAGAAGCCAGAAATGAAGGAGATGAAATGGTTAAGAAAGGGATAGAAAAGTAGGGGTTGGGTTAAAAAAAAGGATGAGAAAATTTAGATAAGTGGGAGGGAGAGAACAAGGCAATACAGATACATGGGGAACAACATGAACACAAGTTCAGAGGTAACATTAGGAATAGAATGGAGGCAATAAAGAAACTTTCTTAATAGATGTTTTGTGCTAGAAAATAGAAATAAGGTTGGACAAGTAGCATTACTTCAAATTCTTAAAAATCTTGAACACTGCTAGCAGTTTAGATTTAATGCCTAAGATCAAACACATGAGGAAAGAGAAATAATTAAAGAAGAGTAACATTTAAACTCACATCTATGATTACTCTATACTTATTTTAAGGGCTGACTTCTAATTAATTACTTAAGTTTGAAATCTGAGCTACCTTTAAATCAGTTCTTCTGGGTATTTTTTCCTATAATTGAAACTGGATTTTCTCAAGAATTTTATTTTAATGTGAGGGTAAAAATACAATTTTTAAATTAGATAAAGTCACCTGAAGTGAAATAGGTAAAATAATCAAGTTGAAGAAATATATTTATGAAATTATATCCTAATTTTTAATGATGGTCAAATATACTACTTGGAGTTACTTGCAAATACTGAGTTTGAAAGAAAGTTTTCTGAATGACCTAGGATCAATTAAAGGTAATGAGCAATGTTTGACTCTGTGAATTCCTATATGCAATGATTAAGGATATTTGGTAGCAGTATACAAAAGCTAATCTAAAGGGGGTATAAAGCCATTGGAAGTAATCTGTGAAGGCAGGGGAGGAACAGGAATGAGGAGATGAAAAACATAAATAAATGAAAAAAAGATAAATATAGGATATTTCAAACAAAGTATTATTGCTGTTGGATGAATATTTGAAGATAAAAAGAGATGCAACAATAATGATTTAGGAATTTTGGGCTTAAATGACTTAGAAGAATGATAAAGCCAAAAGGAAGCAAGGACATTACTCTGACAGAGGCTGAAAGGAAAAATCAAAGGAATAGCATTTCAGAATAAAATCCCAAAGAGCTCACTGCTGGGTTTAAATTGCCCTCACTTCTTTTTGTGGCCAGTCAGGGTCTTTGAACATTTAAGTAAAATTTCACTTAAAAATTCAACAAATTTCTTACAAAGCAATGTAAAAATAAAAAAGCTCAAAACCTGATTATGTTATAGCACTTGATTATATATGAATCCCATGGGCAGTGTTTTAAAAATAGAAATTCTGGAGCTTCTAAGTTGGTGAACACAGTTGGTGAAAGATGGCTTGCCCAGAGAAGGCATGGGAGCCCCATGCCACACCACCCCCATCAATACCTGCCTCTATGCATCTTTTCCATTTGGCTGCTCCTGGGCTATAGCCTTTATAATAAATTGATAAGCATTTGATCAAATTTGGCTGATTAAACATCAAGACATGCTGCTTCCTGGGAGACAGATCTTGGGCTCCAGCTTTAAGATCCTGATTTAGTACAAGTACTACAAGAATATTCTAGCCTTTCTTTTTGCCAATGAGGAGATCAAAAAGAACCCCAGCCTCTTACTACCCAACGTTACCCCTTAGAATTGGTTTTTACAACCTCTTCCAAAGTGACCAACTTCCAAAGGGACCTTGGAAAGCCTTCTTATGTGGCTCTTGAAAGGGTTTGAGATAGTGCCTATTACTGCTGTGAAATGAAGAAGAGGTCTGTAGTAGCCATTGTTAGGAACACTTTTTTTCTCATTCTCACATGCAAACACTATTGGATCTCTACAAATTTCCACAAGTGGGACCAAGAATGGATGTGTCAGGGATGAGACCTTTACTTCCTTCTCCCATGTAATTCTAGGCTATTTAATAAAATAAGAGATTTATGTGTCCTATTAAAGACACACAAAAATTAAGGTTCCTGGGTCTTACCTTCAGAAACTGACTTATAAGTCTGGGGTTTAGAAATTTGCTTTTAAAATACATATTCCAGGAAATTAATAATACTGAAGTAAATATTAGTAGACCATACTTTGAAAAAGACTGGTATATATATTGAAAACTGTCTATAAATGTTGAATCCACAGAAAAAAGAAATCTGTACTTTTCTGCTTTGGGTCAGGGGTGACAAGGAGGAAATTGAAAAGATTTACTTATTTCTTTTTTTAAATAACTTGAATTTATAGATCTCACACAAGAACAACAGAATTCCAAGATTAATAGGACAAAAGTTTTTAACCTAGGGAGGCTTTTAAGTTTAGTGAGAATGATTATACACGTAAAAATTTATTTGTAACACTTTTATAAATTTATTTGGTTAAAAAAGATACACAGTACTTGAATTTGAATCACAGAAACTTAGTAGAAAAGTTAAACTTCACAAGTGGAAATCTATGAGAATTTAAAATAAATAAACTAGAAAGGGAAGCTAAAAACGGGGTTGTTACCTACACTAGTGCAGTTTACATATACTACAAAAAGTCCCATTCTTTTCTTTCATATTCTCATTCCCATGTTTTAAAACTAGTTATGACAAAGTAAAACACATGAAGTCTGCACAACTTCATAAAATGCAGTTTAGAACTTTTTGCCCACATTATCAAGTGACATTGTACACTCAAAGGATTTAAGTAAAACTGGGGTAAAGAATGGGTTAACACAATGAAAATTCAGAAAATGTTGACTTTTACTGCATGTGGAAGCATAAGTTCTTGAATGTTTCACATTTTTAAACAATGTTTACTGTTTATGAGGTAATGGGAAGAGGAAAAGAGAGAGGGAGGGAGGATGAAGAGAGGGAGAAAGGGAGGAATAGAGGGAGGGAAGGAGAGAGGGAAAGAGGGAGAAAGGGAAGGAGAGAAGGAGGGAAGGAAAGAGGGAGGAAATGAGGGAGGGAGGGGGAAAGAGGAACATCTTATATTGGCTCCCAACTCACTCCCAGTAAAAGCCAAAACAGTCGTGACAATGCTAAACAATGCTGTACTGAAGTGGCTCTTCTTCACTCTGAAACATCTGCTGCTCTCCACCTAGCTCACTGTAGTGCACAAAACACTGCCTTCTTTCTGTTCCTTGAACACTAATCACATTCTTAAAGGCTTGCGAACTGTTTGCTTCACCAGGAAAACTCTATATTTCAACATGGATTATGCTTTCATCTCCTCTAGTCTTTGCTCTAAGTCACCACCAATTGAAAACTACTCCAGCACTCCCTACTCCAGCACTCTCCCACTTTTTGGCTTTGTGTTTTTTCTCCAAAGCACTCACTCCTTCTACTATAACAACTTATTTACTTTGTTTTCGGTCTTCTCCAACACATAAAATTGTAAGTCTCCTATGAAGGCCAGAGCTTTTTTTACAGTTTTGTTCACAGTTTATCTCTAGGATCTAAAGTGTGGCTGCACATAATATTGGTTGAATAAATGAACAAAAGAGTCTTTCACACCTTCTGCCTCATCTAAAATAAGAAAAGAAAGTTATTTTTGTGGCTAATAAAAGGAAGTTATTATAAAAATCACTAGAGGCCCAGTGCACAAATTCGTGCACGGGTGGGGTCCAGCTGGCCCACCCCAATCGGGGCAAGCTGGCCAGGGGGAGGAGCCACGGGCAGTTGGCTGGCTGGCCCCGCCCCTTGCTCAAACTCCTAGTCGAGGAGACAATTTGCATATTAGCCTTTTATTATAGAGGATTATTATATAGGATACTTAAAAAACATATCTGGAGTAGTAAAGAAATGAGTTACAGAACTTTAAATCTTTTTATTGTGAAATAAAGCAAGTTCCTGGGTGATGCCTTTTTTAAAGAATACCCATTTGTATTTTATTTTCAGCAGTTTTACTATGTATCAAGGTATGATTGTCCCACTACTAGGAGGGGGATCACAGTATCATATACAACTAGCTTTAATCCAGCACTAAGTTAGCTTTATAGAGGGATACAGGGTAGGAAATTCATCATGCACAGCACCTTCAAACTCATCAGGGGGCCAAGCAACTATTTACAGGCATAGTTTCTTGGATCTCTCCCCAACTCACACGAAGAGTACTCAAGAGTTGCCAAGGACAGTTAAGGTGCAAGTGGTTCACCCCCATACAGAGATGTGCCTTGTTTTCCTGCCAGTCTTATACTGTTCACTTTGAATAGATGTAAGGACTATAAGCCAACTCAGTTTTCTCACTCCAGATGAAATACCACATATGAAGTTTCATAGTAAATTTAAGATAACTAGCTCCTAGCACATACTTGTCTAAACTCAAGTTTATTTCCATAAAATAGTGCTACAAGAAGGCAGACCAAAGTTAAATTTTTAAGCAGGCCTAGGTCTGCAAGAGGTCTAGGTTAAATATTAAATCTATACTCACATTGTAGATTGCAAATCATTTATTCTCTGGGATACAAAGGCTTCCTGAATCTCTACCTTGATGTCTTTCATCAATTTTGTCAAGTTCTTAACAACAATCCTTTCTAATATTTGCTTCAGCAGCATTATTTCTCATCTCTCCTTTTAGGTCTCCTATTTACTAAACTTTCTTACTTCATCTTCTATTTCCTTTCTATATTTTTTCATCACTTTGTCTCTCCATGTTTACTTCTGTATGTTTTCTTCTAATTTAACTACAAGTTCATTAATTCTCTTTTCAACTGTGTCTGATCTTCCATTCAACCCATCCTGTGTTCTTAATTTTGTTAGCTCTATATTTTCAATTCTAGAATTTTCATTTTAAAGTGTTTAGTTCCCAGTTTAAATTTTCAATATTTTCTTTAATCTCATCAGCGAGGGTATTTTCAAGCGATGTCTGATAACTCCAATATCCAGAGATGCTGTGATTTGTTTCTACTCTCCATTGCTTCTGCTGGATTTATTCATGCTGCCTTGCTTTTTCCTAGGTCTGTTTATTTTTTATTGTGCCCTAATTATTGTAATTGCAATTTAAAAAACATAAATGAAGTTTTCAGATGATCTTCTTTAGAGGATCTTTCAGAAAGGATTTAATATTGCATCCTGTGGATTCTAGCAATCCAGAATCACCTCCCTTTAATTTCAGGATTGATATGATTTGAAGTTGAGTTGCAATCACTGTGAGGCTTATCTTCCACAGTGGTAAGCACTTCCTGAATCTCTACCTTGATGTCTTTCATCAATACCTGTGCCCCTTTGAAACTACCATTAAGTGCTCTCAGCCACTCCACCAAAATTGGCAAATGCTCCCAGGCAAAAGTATACTCAAAAATCAGGGTCACATTTCTAGGCTGGTAATTCTTTTCTATCTTGTGTACTTTCCAATGCCTTCAAACAGGTTTTTGTTTATAAAATACATATACCTGCTCCCAATTTTCTAGTACTACTTCGAGCAGCGGTTCTCAACCTGTGGGTCGAGACCCCTTTGGGGGTCGAACGACCCTTTCACAGGGGTCGCCTAAGACCATTGGAAAACACATATATACTTACATTTTGTTTTTGTGATTAATCACTATGCTTTAATTATGTTCAATTTGTAACAATGAAAATACATCCTGCATATCAGATATTTACATTACGATTCATAACAGTAGCAAAATTACAGTTATGAAGTAGCAACGAAAATAATTTTATGGTTAGGGGTCACCACAACATGAGGAAATGTATTAAAGGGTCTCGGCATTAGGAAGGTTGAGAACCACTGACTTAGAGGAAAGATTGGTCCAACACTTAGTCTGCCATTACCAATACTGAAAATTGAGTAAGAGAACTTTAAACAATATAGCAATGGAGTATATCTAATTAAAGTTAAACCATACCTGGAACTCAAATATCTTAACGTACTCATCAATTAAGAATTTTTGTGTCAACAATAAAACCAACCAAGTAAGCAACTAAAAAGCTATTTTTTGAAAAAAATGACACTAAAGAATGACTACTCTTTAAAAAAATCAAGATAAATTATTTCTTCATATACTTTATTAGAAAGCTTGTACTTTAAATAAGTGACAAGTTGGAGAAAACATTTTTTTGCAACCTAGAAGTGCAACTTTCTTAAGAAATTAAATGTATTTAAATATTCTTGAAAAATATATTTTGTAGAAAGTAATTCTGCCCTGAAATAGAATTTAATTAGTTGTAGGCCACTCCCCTTTATCTACATCAAACCTTTTTCTTCCTAATACAATACCTGGTTTAGCTAAATGTCTTTTGAGCATATACTGCATTTGATAACTAAGAACATTAAGATATAACCCGGCTGGCATGGCTCAGTGGTTGAGCATCAAGCTATGAACCAGGTGGTCATGGTTTGATTCCCGGTTAGAGCACATGCCCAGGTTGTGGGCTTGATCCCCAGTGTGGGGCACGCAGGAGGCAGCTGATCAATTATTCTCTCTCATCATTAATGTTTCTATCTCTCTCTCCCTCTCCCTTTCCCTCTGAAATCAATAAAAATATATATTAAAAAAAATAAAAGAAAAATAAGATACAGTGTAAACTCTGGAGAAATTTCCAGTTTTATGGAATAGATATAGAGACAAAGTTTTAATGGCTGTAACACAGGCATACACAAAATGCTATGGGCACATAGGAGAAACATTATGTCAGTATGACACTGTCCTATTAGTGACATTTCCATTACTACCTAAAATGCTTGTATCCTTTAGTGATCGATGCAAGGCTAAGCAAAAACATAAAATGCATATCACATATCAATTTATATTTTAAACATTAAAAAAACTCACCTGTGTGTACATAAACATAAAGAATTATATAGAACACCAAGGTGGGGAAAAAAACTGCTATGAAAACTTACCCCATCTGGCAGTGCTCTCCAGCACACAGCACTAACAAATTCATTTGTATCATCTTCTTTTCGGTCTTTGTCAAGAACACTTTTAACTGTATCAAACTTAAACGTTAGCAAAGTCTTAGAAAGTCCTTTATAGTACAGGTAAAGAGAGTTGTTCTCGCTTCCTAAAAAAATTAAAAAATAAATAATTTTTTAGAATGGGATAATTCAGAGCTAGGACAGCACATTCATAAGATAATTTATACCTCAGAGTTTAAACTCCAAGAATAAATATCTTTTATGGTTAATTTTGAAAGAACAGAGCATGGGACTTCTTGGGAATCATGTCAGAAAAGAATTCATAGGAAAAACTACACTTTACTAATCTAAAGACATAATCACTGTTAAATGATTTAACATTGGGAATTCTAAGGCTGAAATTACCACATGAAAATAATTTCTAGGAAAGGTCTCCAGAAGAATAAAAACATTGTTAGTATCACATGAATCTTTAATTACATTTACAACAATTTCATCTAGAGAGAAAAAAGAAAGTTATTGCACCTGTGAAGGCAAATTTTAATACCTTAAAAAGCTTATTTCCCAATCCCTAATGAAGGCATTACTCTATTAGGTAAGCAGTCTAGAAACCTACATTTTTGAGCAGTCTATGAGAAGTTGGATAATTATGCAGAGACTTGCTTTGCAGGGTTTAGGTTCACATACATGTGGAGAGAGTCAACTTTACTCAATAAAGGCCAAGTCATTTGAAGGTATTGATGAAAGTTCATTTCTTCAGGCATTAGATATATTATAAAGTTGAATAATACTAAATTTGATTTTTCTACTTCTGATTTAAAAATGTATAAATTATCATTAAAAAAAGCCCCAGAAGATCAGATAAAGACTACCCAAATAGACTGCTTAATGAAGAGAACACTTTATAGGAGAAAATAAATAACAAGCTCAAGAACACAAATAATGTCTCCAAAATTAGGATATTAGCAAACATTAATATTTTCTCTTTTACATAATATCTATAGAAATTATGTTATAATGGAGAACCACCAAAAACATATTTAAAAATATTATGCTATTTCATGTGGTTAGGATTTGCTTGTGTTCCGTAGAGAAGGGAAGGACTAATGCAGTCCAATCTGAGGATTAATTAATTAATATATTCCACTATAGTGGAATACATATAGTTCCACTGAATGCATTTTGGTGACAGATACCTGTTAAAAAAGTGTAGGAAAAGATGGTTTCACATACCACAAGCTATGTAATCACCATTGGAAGCGAGGCCTACAAAGTTTTTTTCATTGATATGACCCTTGAAGGAACGTAGACAGTATGGTTTCCCTACATTCCACAGTTTTAACTGGCTGTCCGTTGAGCTAAAGTAAACACAAAAAGTTAGAGCATATTTAAGATTTCATGGCATGAAACTCATCACTACTAATTAGAGGCACTCTAGTTTGGTGGTTAAAAATGCAGAATCTGAAACCAGACTGTTAGGATGCTCAATATGCTGATAATTTGTTTTTGACCTTGGGTAAGTTATACAACCTCTCTGGTCTGCTTTTTTTCATCATTTAAATGTGAAATATAATGATTCTTACACTATAAAATTTATAAGATGTTATGAATCTTATATTTTAAAAATTAAATTAATTCATTTAAAATGTTTTCAATAGTCCATGGGCATTAATAAACATTAGTCATTGGTAACATCATACCACCACCATCAAAACACAATTGTCCTGCTTGTTTTGATTTACTTTTCAACTCTTGAATTGTATTAGTATACTGAATATAAACTATATTCAAAGCTTAATTGTACCTGCAGAGGTGGAATACTGTAAATGATCTATATAAAGTAGTTTATCTTACTGAAATAATATGCAGATACAGTTATTTACCAAAAAGTAATTATATAAATCACTGGTAATTATTATATAGAGACAGTCTTGGGACTTAAAACTACATGTTTTTTCTCTTTTTGTTAAAAAATTAGATCATAACACATATATTATTTTGTAAATTGCTTCTCCACCATTCATAAATTTGTGTTACATTGTTTTCTGTAAAATAACTCATTTCTGTATCTTTATTAATGACTACATAATAAATCTTTTTATTTACTCTAACATTCATAGACTAGACCACCATGGTACGAATTTTACATACATTATTTTATTTAAAGATTCACAACTAAAGATTAGTACTATTATTTAGAGATGAACAAACTGAGATTCAGGAGGTTGAGGACATTTTCAAGGTACCACAGTTAGTAAACAGTAGAGCCAAGACTGAATCTTTATTTCAGAGGCCAAATGCCATCAAACTCTTGAAATACTTCTCTATTGCTTCTCATCATTTTTCAACATAACATCTATTCTTCGGTATTGATGCTGTCTTCAATTTGTTTTTTGTTCAATAGTGTTGCAGTGAATATCCCTTTATGTGTGTATATATGTGTATAAATATACACACATTTTTAAACTGGCCAACAATTCAGAGGTTGCAACAATGTGTGTATTTTACTTTTCAATATTTCTAAATATACTTGTGAATAAATTTATTCTAAATACTTCTAAACTCCAAAATGTACAAGAGAAAAGTCATCTTGATTTATAATATCAACCCATCCTGTGTTTTTAATTTTGTTAACTCTATATTTAGATTGGTCAAAGATTTGGACCAATCTTTTCTTTAAGTAGTACTAGAAAAGTGGGAGTAGGATACTTTTTGACTTGTAACTACTTAATTCAGATTTGTGAACCAATGACCTATACTATTTGCCCTTCTAAAGCTCAGTTCCTACTTTCTTTTGTTCCCTTCTTTGTAATTCAATTCAAATTGCCAAATTCTTATCGAGGGCAACCGGCATGAAGGTAGATGTGGTGAGAAATACCAAACAGAAATCCGTGGCATTAATAATCTCCTGAGAGATTAGAAGCTAAGTGAAGAAAAGAAAACAATATATCATTTACCTTGATAATAATAGATATGAAAAAGAGAGAACTAAAGAATGGGTATTTACTAGGTTAATATAAAATGAAGAGAACTATAAAATGGATCACAGAAAGAAGGGACTGCTTCTGTTAGCAGAAAAACTTTGTCAACAATATTTTGGCAGATGAGATTTATGTATCTGGTTGACCTCTTAAAAGACAACTAAAAGCTATACTATGACTCTCTAGGTCAGAAGCTTCTAAAAGGATATTTGTTGGGTATAAGCATTCATAGTTGGAAAGTTCTCTTCAAAGCACATGTAAAACTCACCATGAAATCATAAGGAGATCAAATAACATATAATCAAAAGTCAATCAAATATAACTTGAAATAAATACACTACAGTACTGCAATGTAGATATATATAGAATAACATTAGTTGAATTAAACAAAACACTTCTCATTTTATTCCCTCAACTATGTTGTCTCTTCTTATGGAGAAGCAGTAGCTGAAACTCAATCTGAAGTTCAAATATTTAAGGGGGAGACATTAAAAATTAGTATAATCAGGATTTTATTCACAACTAACATATTAAAGTGAGTAATACAGATCAGAATATGCATGCATTTTAATCAGATGTTATAAAAAAATTTATTTAAAAGTACACATACCACCACAGTGCTATTATTTATATATATATGCAGGGTAACATTACAAAATGGTAAAGGATGACAGAGCTGTGTTCAGTTCAACCTCTGAAAAGAGTAATACTCACGCAGAGACAATTTCCTCACCACTCACAAACTTTGCATAAGAAACAGCTTTTCGGTGTCCTTTGAATACCATAATTGGCTGTTTAGTGTTACGAAGATCATAGTAGTGGACACAGTGATCTAAAACAAAACAAAACAGAGAAAAAATGCAGTAAATGAATAGAAAGCAAAGCTAATTTTAATTGCTTTTGGTGTTTTTCATCAAATGTTTCACAGATACTGGTAATGTCAACCTGTTAATAGCCAGAATATGAAGGGCTATGACTCATTTTCAAAGATGAATCTAAGAAAATAAGGTTGCATTAAAAAATTAAACATATGCGAATGTGAGTGTGAAAGGGAGTTCCACTGACAATTCCTGTAATCCTGGCTCTAGAAATAGAGAATTAAAGGTTCAAAATAACTGGAAATTTAAAAATAAATCTCTAAATTTTTTTTTTTAAATCTCTAAATTTTGATGGCTTTATTAAAAAGGTAATATAAATATTTTGGCATTCTGGCTAAACATAATGCTATATAATTTTATATATCCCACATTTGCTTTTGTAAAAACACTTTCTTGAGAGACACTACATAAAAATTGTAAATACAATATTCAGTGATTTTCACTAAATTTACCCAGTGGTGCAACCATCACCATAAATGTTTTAGAACGTTTTCCTCATCCAGTAAGATCTCTTAAGCCCATCTATCACCCATTGCCCTAGGTAATCACTATACCTACCGATCTAAAAATTTGCCTTTTCTGGACAATTTATATAAATGGAATCATTATAATACTTGATTCCACTGCATGGTTTCTTACACTTCACATATGTATTTTAAGTTCATCCATGTTTTAACATGTGTCAGCAGCTTATTCATTTTTATTGTGGAAGAGTATCCACTGTATGGATATACCAATTTTGTCTATCCACTTACCAGTAGATAGATATTTGCTTCCCCCTTTTTTTGGTTATCATGCATAATGCTGCTATCAACAATCACATTCAAGTCTTTCTGTGGACATATATTCAGGTATTGAGGAGCTACCTATAAAATGTAATTACTGGGAAATGTAATAATTTTGTATTTAACTTTTAACTTTTAAAGAAACTGACAAACTGTTGACTGTACCATTTTACAATACGTGATCGTTTTGGGTTTGTTTCTGGGCTCTCACGTTGTTCCACTGGGCAGACTACACTTTGAGTAACAAGGTTGTAGAGCATATTTATTATTTTCTTATTTACTTGAAAGAGTTCTTCATGTATTCTGAATATGTGTCCTAACTATCTCACCCCAATTAATGACTTTTTAAAAATTATTTATTCCAGGATTTATTTGATGAACAAAAGTATTATATTTTATAATAGCCAAATTTACTCACCTTTCATCTAAAGTTTACAGTTCTGGTATCTTAAGGCATTCCCTGAATCAAGATTGTGAAGATATTCTTTCTTATGTTGTCTTATAAACAGTTTATAGTTTTGCTGCTCATATTTAGGTCATTTGATCATCTGGAATTAGTTTTGTGTATTTCATGAGTTAGAATTACACTGTCATTTTCCCATACCAATTGTCTAAAAATTCCATATTTTCCAAACTCCTATGCAATATAATCTTTGTCAGGTATCTTCTACTGCACCCAATAAAACTTTTTATTTACTTTTCCTTATCCTTGTTTTAAATGTGTCTCTTATAAAGAATATAGAATTGCATTCTGAACATTTTTAACTAGCCTATTAATCCCTGCCTTTTATTTGGACCCATTGAATCCATTTCCATTTACTATAATTAGATATATTTGGATTTCTATCTATGAGCTTTTTTTTTTTTAATTACCCCAAGTTTTCTGTGTTTCCCCACCTCCCCTTTCTTGCTTGCTTGTTTTGGGTTAGCCAAATATTGTACTCCTTCCCCCTTACCCTAATAGCAGTTTGAATTTTGTTCTTTGGTTCTATTATTTTAATGGTATCCCTTGACATCGTATCATGCATTTCATACTTTCCAAATGTTAGTAGTGATTACTCAATTTTAGTAACAGTTGAGTAAAAGATGCCTGACTTTAAAATATCTCTGCACTTAATATAAATATAAAATTTCTTGTGAAGCTCATTTTTTAAAAGATCTAGCTAGAGTGCTAATGACAGGCTGGAAGGCAAGACAGGCATAAATAGATAAGAGATTTATTGGGTGCTTCAAAGTTGTTTTTAGGTTCTAGCACTCTAAAAAATAGATTTTATTTATTACAAAGTAATAGAATAATTTGTTTTGTGAATACTGGCTTTATGCTTGCCACTTCCATTTGAGTTTACTCAAATTACTTGGAAACTTGAAAATAAAATGTCCTTCACAGTCACACACCCTCATTATCTATGTAGTATAGATAACTGAAACACATGTTCATGAATGTTGCGATATTAATCAAGATTTATTAAATATTCAGACATTCAATTCATTTAAACGTGAAGGAAAAGACATCATCTCCACTGGCAACTGCTGTATAAAAGACAAGGCAGATTTATAAACTTAACAAATCGAAAATGCTTCCCATTACTTAGATAAGACAGGAAAATATAGTAAAAGTCCCCTGAGCAATTACATATCTACCTTACTCAAGTTTCTCCATGTTAACTCTATACTGTGAATTAAATTAGGTGTCATAGATCCTTAAACACCAAGGTTTTCAACCTGAAAGGAACTAATTATATTTTGGTGACAGGGATGTTGGGAAAACAAGAGGAAAGTAGAAGGTAGTCCATAAACTGACTGTAGAGGTCTAAAATATTCTAAATTTGAGTTTTGTATAGTATAGATGTTCATCTTTTATAATCCACCCTCATTTAGAATCATACATATTTCCAAATAAAGAAAAATACTTATTGGCCTCCTCCTCAAGAAATGCTATGTATTTATGGAAAGATACCTTTAAAACTATTAACAGTAGTACCTTTGAGGAGGTAGTTTAATAATGTTTGATCAAGGGGAATTTAAACTTTGTAACAAATGAAAGTTGAGAATAAGGACATAATCTTATACTATTTGTTTAATTAAATATAAACAATTTTAAATGTAGATATTTTTAAGCCGCAAATGTACGATAGCCCAGATAGCTTTACTGAGAATCAAGAAGAACCTTTATAAAAATTATTTTTACTGAATATGTTAAAAAAACAACAACATGAGTCACATATAAGAAATATTGAAGCTGATCATGAAAGGCCTACTAGTAGAACAGAAAGCAATATTATCTGTATTTATTCTTTAGGCAATGAGAAGCTTCCAAAAGTATTCAAGTAAGGGAAATAAATTAATAAATCCTCCCAAACCCTTAAAAGGTTACTTTTTTCTTTTGAAGACTAAGAATCATCAAATGCCAAATCACACTTAGAAAGTATAGAAAATGGGAAAACAAATGGTGCTTATGTATGTGAACTGATTAGTGAGAATAACAGAGTTCACAGTAACCAAAGCTAAAAATGTTTATTGATAACACAGTTAAATAGAATATTTCAGAATTCCTGTTTATTTGTTCTAGGGACATTATTTCTTCCCAGTGAATATGTTGTTAACATAAATGCCACTTCTGAAACAGAATAAAACTAATTTTATCTTTGACTTATATCACTAATTTTGGGGAGGGGAGAACTATTATTATTTCAAAGAAAATAACCTTAAAAATACCCATATTTCCTATCTGTTATACTAATTACAACTTTAAAAATTACAAGATGCTTCAAGTTAGCATGCAAGCAACTCTAATATCATATTAAAGCCACAGATTGCTAGTTCTATTTACTTTAGTCTTACAATGCTCTCCCAAATTGGCTTTAGAGAAGATAAACTGGAGGAAAAATGGTTTTCTATCTTTTTCTACACAATAAGAGTATGTCCTTGCCAGGTTGATGTGGCTCAGTGGTTGAGTGTCAACCTATGAACCAGGAGGTCACAGGGTTCAATTCCCGATCAAGGCAGATGGTTGGATTGCAGGCTCAATCTCCAGTAGGGAGCGTGCAGGAGGCAGCCAATCAATGATTCTCTCTCATCATTGATGTTTCTGTCTCTTTCTTCCTCTCCCTTACTCTCTGAAATCAATAAAAATATTTTTTATAAATGTCCTTGTTAAACAAATAACAGACACTTAATAAAGACCTTTACCCTTATGTTGAAAATATTATCCTCGCCCTAACTGGTTTGGCTCAGTGGATAGAGCATCAGCCTATAGACTGAAGGGTCCCAGGTTCGATTCCAGTCAAGGGCATGTACCTTGGTTGCGGGCACATCCCCAGTGGGGGGTGTGCAGGAGGCAGCTGATCGATGTTTCTCTCTCATTGATGTTTCTGACTATCCCTCTCCCTTCCTTTCTGTAAAAAGTCAATAAAACATAATTTTTTTAAAAAAGCCCTTCTCTTAAAAAAAAAAAAGGAAGAAAGAAAATATTATCCTCTCTTTTTGAAAAGCACGTTTTGAATAATCTCAGGGCTTAGGAATAGATTTTACATGGTTTATAAAGTCTTTTTCTCAATATTAATCACAAAAAGGTTCTTTAACCTATTATTTTCAAGCGGACCACGACTTAGGATTTGATTTTAACAGAAATGCTTGTGAGTTTCTAGTCCATCTTGAGAAACTTTTCATGTTGTAAGCTCCAGTAAAAAAAAAAAAAAAAATCAACAACAAAAAGATCAACTAGATTTATAACCCATTCCTAATGTCAAATTCTTCATTACAAATGGTATTTAATAAGCAACCTTGTGAATATAACTCTTGTACTGTTCTCAGTGGTAAAATAAATGGTACAGCTAGAGAGAATGATGTTGTACAGTTTAAAAAGAAACATTTAGATAATAGTCTGCATTTTAAGAAATATTTCAATTCTAAATGAAGATGATTCAACAAGAGTCATTGTTTTCTGGTAGTAAAGATTTTTCTTATGATTAAAGGGGTTTCAGTAAGTGAAAGGTACAATTAAAGGCAGTGAGTAAAATAAGACCTTCTGTTTCATTAATGCCTGTTCTGATATTAACCTATTTCATTGCCAAAAAATAAGTCTTTAATTCATATCAAATCTCATTGTGCTGGCTAGGGTCAATGACACTCAGCATCCATTTCCCACCACCTTATGCTATTTTTAGCTTATGGAAGATAGAAAGTTAAAAACTATCTTGCTCAGATCCCCTTGCAGTTATGCTCCTGGATGTGACTTAGGTTCCACCAATGGGATGTAAGATTTGAAAGGTAGAGATTTTGTGGTCATTCTGCTTTGGATATTTCTGTTGCAAGCATCATTGTAAAGATGTGGAGGTTCTCTGTTGAAGTGTTCCAGTGTCTAGTCTCTATCTCTGTGGCAGATATAGCGAAAGATTTCTGAGCCCTTGATTACAGCAAGGGCATTTTGATTTTAATAGTTCTAATGGCTGAGAAAGAAATAACAGTTCTTTTAGCCTATCAGTACTCATGGTGAGCTAACAGTCATTACAAAAGGTTCAGCCTACACATCTCCAACCCTTCCAACAAGTAAATGTGGGTAAGAACATATGTGGTGTTCTGGCCTGAAGCACCTTCCCTACCTACACATACAAATACACCTAAGAAACTGACAGATGCCCTAACCGGTTTGGCTCAATGGATAGAGCGTCGGCCTGCGGACTCAAGGGTCCCAGGTTCGATTCCGGTCAAGGGCATGTACCTTGGTTGCGGGCACATCCCCAGTAGGGAGTGTGCAGGAGGCAGCTGATCGATGTTTCTCTCCCATCGATGTTTCTAACTCTCTATCTCTCTCCCTTCCTCTCTGTAAAAAATCAATAAAATATATTTTAAAAAAAAGAAAGAAAGAAACTGACAGATATTTAACTGGACTGACCAAGAAAAAAAGAGAGAAGACACAAAAGGTCAGTAAGGAATAAAGGAAGGGACATTAACTGACACTATGGAAATTAAAAGAATTACAAGAGAATGTTATAAACAACTTTATGCCAACAATTTAAAAAATTAAATTTATAAATGCCTAGAAAGACAATAACTATCAAAACCAACTTCAAGAAGAAATAGAAAACCTAAATAGACTTACAGGAAGTACAGAAACTGAATTCAAAATGTAAAATCTTCCCACAAAGGAAAGTCCAAGTCTAGATGGTTTCACTGATAAAGTCTATAAAGGTGAAATAATACCTATCCTTCACAAACTCATTCAGTAAATAAAGGAAGAAACACTTCGAAACTCATTCTATGAGGCCATTCGTACTTTGCTATCAAAGCCAGAAAACAGCATAAGAAAAGAAGGCTACAGCAAACCAAATCCAGTAACTTATAAATAGGATCTTAGATTATGGCTGAGAGATTTTTCTCCTGAATAGAAGGGTGGTCTATGGTAGAAAAAAGAAAAAAAAAGAGAGGAAGAAAGAAGATGCTATATTATTACAATAAAGGACATAAACCACAAGATCATCTTACTAGAGGCAGGAAAAAACATTTCACAAAATCCAACACTCATTCATAATAAATACTCTTAGCAAACTAGTAATATGTGGAAACTTACTCAGTTGATAAAGGGTGTCTACAAAAAACCTACAGCTAATATCACACTTAACTGTGAAGAAGTAAATGCTTTCTCCCTAAGAAAAGAAAATCCCTTCTGCTACTCCATTCAACATCTCACGTAAGTTTTTAGCTCACACAATAAAGATAAAGGCATTAATATAGTAAATGAAAAAATAAAAGTGTTTTAATTCACAGATGATACTATCTTAAATGTAGAAAATCTGAAGTAATGCACCATAAAACTATGAGAAAATACAAAAGTAGCAAGATTGCAGTATGCAAAATCAATATACAAAAACTGATTGCATACATTAGCAACAAAAAGTCTAAAAATTAAATTAAGAAAACAATTCTATTCAAAGGACTAAAAGTACTAAAATACTTAAAAATAAATTTAACAAGAGAAATTTAAGACTTGTATATTGAAAATAGTAAAATACTGATATTAAAAATGGTAAAGAGAATTACAGATCAATTATTGATATAGATGTAAAAATATCAGCAATGAAATGTAAAAATTTATCAAAAGAATTCCAGCCCTGACCGGTTTGGCTCAGTGGATAGATCATCAGCCTGTGGACTGAAGGGTCCCGGGTTCGATTCCAGTCAAGGGCATGTACCTTGGTTGTGGGCACATCCCCAGTAGGGGGTGTGCAGGAGGCAGCTGATCGATGTTTCTCTCTCTTCGATGTTTCTAACTCTCTATCCCTCTCCCTTCCTCTCTGTAAAAAATCAATAAATTATATTTAAAAAAAAAAAAGAATTCCACATTAAGCTCAAGCAGGGTTTAATCTAGAGACAAACAGAATTGAATAACAGAAAATGTATAAGCATAATTCATTATGTCAACAAATTAAACCAATTGATGCTGAAAAGGTACTTGATAAAGTACTAAAGTTGCTCCTAAGAAATAGTAAAATAATTAATTTGAATTTAGTAAGACTGTTTTCCAAAATTAGATATCCAAAATAGCAAAATACTAATGTGCACTCAATTAAATAGAAGTGGGAAGTAACTATCACTAGTATGATGATACTGCCTTATAAGAGGAGAATGTAATAAATCATTGGAAAAGAAGAAACACAAACATCATTTCTGGCCACTATCAACTATAAATAGACAACCAAAAAGATTCTACTAAAAAACTCCCAGATTTAGTAAGATAAATATACAAAGTGCCTTGATATGATACAAATATCCAAATACCAACAGTTTTTATCTACTCTTAGCAAACAGTACCTAAAATAAGAATGAAAAATATTTTATTTAAAATAACAAAATTATAGCATACTTAGGAAAAAAATAACCAGAAAGGCCTAGGGCCTAAATGAAGTAAAGTATAAAATTTTACTTTAGAAAAATATCTCATATAAATATGTGGGAAGATACACTACCTTAATAATGTCAATGTTCCCAAAATTAACAAATAAATATAATGTAATTAAGATGAGAATAAAAAGCTTACATGGAAAAGTAAGTGCAAAAATTAACTATGAAATATATGAAAATTTAAAGCAGTGGGGACAAAACTGCCTGCCAGATAGCTGAAACATTTTAAAAGTAGGCTTTCCTTTTCCAGAAAGGAGAACTTTTGAAGATACTCATATCTGGCATTTGTGTTAAAGACTGACAATTATGTCTATTCTTAAATGATGGCCAATGGTTAGTATGTTTATAAAACAGAACTTTAAAATTCAATAAACTATTTTAACTTAATAAAATGTTAATAACTAAACAATGATTGAATTCTATACTATTAGAGCTTTACACATAGCATTTTTCTTTCATAATCCTCATAAGAGCCCCAAAGGGCTATCTCTATTTTAGGAATAAGGAGCTTGGGGAGAAAAGTAAATCAACTTGTTTAAGGCTACATATCAAGCAGTAACAAAACAGAAATGTAAATAAGGGAGAAGTTCAAATGGAAAAGAATAACACTTAATAAAGAAAAAAATTCTATATAATAAAAATAGGGAATTTTACCCACACATACATGTTAGTCCATATCCTTCTTGAGTTTAACTATGAAATTATGTCAGTATCCAAGTGAAATAAGTTGAAATAAGGAAAACGTGTAATGACAAATTAAGATTTAAACTGTGCTTTTCTCTTTTAAAAGTGATAATTGTGCTCATTGTGATATGGTGTTAGCTAATATAAAAAACACACACACTGATATTATCATTAAAAAAAGAACCAAGGAAATTTCACAATGCAGAAATTAAACTACAGATGTTTATTCTTTTAATAAATATTCAAGGGAAGAAAACAGATATAGAAGACAAAGTAATTAATAGTGACCCCTATAATTAACCTGCCAACCCCATAACACTTCTGACAATGAAAGAGAACTTACTAGTAATAATTATATTGGTACAAGTATAAACTTGCACTGACCCAGGCAAACAGACATTCCGTCACCCTAGTTAAAAAAAAATACTTTAGCAAAAAATTCTTTGCTATTATTAAAATAGCAAACATTTTTATGATTACTTACTATATTAGCAAGCACTCCAAGATACAAGACTTGGTTTTATTCACTGTCCCTAAATAGGTAATTTGTGCATAGTAGACACTCAATAATTGCTGAATTAATTGGTTTCCTATAGGAAAAAAAATTCCTGTCTATACAATATAACTGAATAGTTTAAACATCATTATGACCTAAGTTTCTGAATAAGTAAGCATTAGTTCATGCATAGAAAGACTTAGAGGAACAATGACAAAAATTATCAACAAACCCTTTTCTATGTATTGAATATTAGTGACACTCTCTATGTATTGAATATTAGTGACAAAATACTGAAATGAAGGTACAGCAACAAATGAGTAATGATGGCATACTGCATACTTCTAATTTAGAGTTTAACAATGAAAACACAATTTAAACCTACAAAGAAAGTTACTCATTTTTAAAACTTTTATCTTAGACATGATTCTCAACCAACATCAAACAACAAATCTGCTTGTATTTCTTACCTGCACAGCCGAAAGCTAAATGGTATCTAGAAGAGGGGCTAAATTTAACACAGCACACATTAGCCTTTGCCTCAATGCTTGCCACTGAATTGTCTAGGTTGGTAGACCACAGCTTCACTAAGAATAAAGGAAAATAAAAACAAACAAAAAAATAAATAATCATTAGCAAATGCTTCTGTAACCTAGAAACAGCTGTTTTGTTTTTTTGGTTTTTTTAGTTAATCTAAAGCATTCTGATTTACTGGGACCAAAAATTTTAAACAATGTAATAATAGAACAGTATATTGAAACCAAGAGTGCTTAGTTTCAAAGTCAGAAAACAAACAGATATTCAATGTAAAATGAGTGATAACATGATCCCATAACTAGGTTCATTCTAGTGATTTATACTGAGATTTGTAATGATGGGGAGAAGAAAGAAAGCTGACTGATCAGAGCAGGTCAGATCTGAAAGCACAAGCAGAAAGGTGAGCTGTTGTCCTGTGAGGTACTACAGCAACCATCATGTTATTTTTAAACAAAAATGTCTTAGTAGACACCAGAATACATACACAAAATATATTTTCAGGATAGAGGCCACAATCCTGGTTGCATAATAGAATTAAAACAAACATTAACAATAACAAAAACAAAACCTTCCCATCCATCTTTTGATTGGTCTCAATGTCCCACTCAGGACAACACCCAGATGAGGTAGATATTAGTGTTTTTTAAAAAGGTCCAGGTACTAGTGTTTTTTAAAAAGCTCTCTGGGTGATTCCGATGTGCATTTGGGGTTGAAAACCAGTACTAAGAATAAAGGCATAGTAAAATTTTAGAATCTTTTTAGGAATACTAATACAGTAATTTATAAACAGAAATGAAAAAAAAAAGTAAAAATGGTCCCAACAACTACCACTTCTATAAGTTACATGTAGGAAAAAACACACAAAGAAATTAAGGCTTCTAACTCTAAGATAATATAACTGTTAATATGATCTTATAAATCTAATGGTGAGAAAAACCAGGCCAAACAGGACAGTATGGACAACAGAAGAGAATAATAAAGATAAATATACAAGAAAAAATAGAAGAGGTCGATTAAATTGGCAGAAAGAGATGTAGAATTTTTGCCTTAAAACAGGATTAACTGTACTCAAATATTTTAGCATACACTGGAAATTTAATATAATTCAGAATGCAAAAATGTCTAAATGCTTCAGAAAAAAAGTTCATTCAGTGGTGTATATATAAAGGAATTGGTTACAAAAATTTCACCATGTGGCATGTACCCAGAAAATATAATAATGAAGATGTAGTATATCCATTTTTCTTTCATTCCAAAAGAGATATAGATTTTTGGAGTTCAGTTATTTTTGGAGCAATCAGTAATCACAAAAGATTGCTATAAATTTCAATAAATATCTGTATTTCTGCTAGTAAAAGGAATAAAGGGGGTGGGAGGGAAAGAGAGGTGATTCAAATAGTACCTTTTGCGTCATCAGAACCTGAAGCCAAGAGTTTAGGATCCATCAAATTAAAGTCAACACTCCAACACCTCTTCTCATGCTCCTGGATGTAGGAGGAAGACAAAGTAGTCTCAGATAGAATATAGATCTTAAAATAAATAAAGCAAAAACAACAACAAAAAAAACTTGATACCAATTTACTGCTATTGTGGGAGGGAGAGAGAACAGGCTATAAAAACAAAAGAGATGTAAAGTAGTTCCCAAACTTTTTATATATAATATACATTTACTAAAATGAGATACATTCTAAAAATGCAAAAGTCTAAGAAAATGCTTTTAAAAGCATGATTTAGTATTACATAGGTATAAAAAAATACTAAATAGTGCCTTTAAAATTTTAATTATGAAGTATATGAAGCTTTATAATTATTAAGAAAGTAAAAATTTAATTCTCAAAACAAATTAGTATCCTTAATTACCTGATAGACCTTTGACCTCTGTCCTGTAAATCCATCCCACAGGATGACGGTGCCTTCATAATCACTGCTTGCTAACAGGTTCTTATGGTAACTACTCCAACTGATACAGCTGAAAAAAAGCAATATGTTTAAGCTGTACTTTATGTAAAAATAATTAACAATAGAGAGAAAGGATTTTTATATGTCCAGAAACATTAGAACCTTTTGAAATGTTCTACATAAGTTCACCATCATTTTCCTGCTCATAACACATCTGGGAAGGAAAGATATCAAGTAATTCCCACATTTTTCTATTGAAACTACCAAGTAATGACCCATACCACTTTGCACTCTTATCACTAGCTGAAAGATGAATATGAACCTAAAGCTGCCACTGGCCATTTGAATACATGAAAAAAGTATGCCTATGGGAGAAGATAATAGAGGCCAAGGGGGCACAAAGAATGGCAGGGCAGAATAGCAGAGATCTAATCAGATTGTTTAGGTCCCTGAACCCAGTTGTGCCAAATCATAAAAGCAAATAAACTAGTTTAAATTAAGTTTCAGTTTATATCTCAACAGAATCTTGTGGCTGAAAGTCCAATCAAAAGCATTTAACAATGAGAATTAAACTTTTAACATTTATGTTTTCAGCTATTCTCAACCACTCCAAAATTAAAAATGCAACATCTAAAAATGTATATTTTTGGTGAGACACAGATGTGAATCATGCATAGAGTAAAGCAAATAGTATATTAAGGAAGAAGCCACTTTGAGAGCAATTAGCCTAAATGAGTTCCAAGCATATGAACATAATAAAATCTTTTGCTCTCTACTAGCTGCATTCATGCTAAATTTCAGAGACTGGAAGAATTAATTTTTATGTTTAAATATACTTACTTGAATTTCTGCGCAAAATTACATGGAACAGTTAAGAGCTAAATTTGATTCAGATAGACCTGAGCTCAAATTCCAGATCTGCCCCTGACTAGCTGTGGCTTTGGGTAATTTACTTCACTTTCACTATTGCCGTACTCCAAATTGGTTTCAGGCATGCTTACAAACTGATTCTTTCAGTCCCAAGTCCATGGCGTCCTATCTTGAAAAGCATCCTCCATTTACTCCAAGGTACCGAAAGTATTGCCATATTTTTAAGTGTTAAGAAAGGGTAAACTCTCTAATCCACATTTTCAATACAGTCACATTTAATATGAATCCTTGAGATGGGCCAAATATTGTGCTGAGTGCATTATGTGTATTTATTTAAAGTGCAATCTAATAAAATAGGTACTACTCTTTGTGCTCCATGTTATAAAAGAAGAACATGAAATGGTTAAGAGCACAGACTCTAGAACAGGGGTGGGCAAACTTTTTGACTCGAGGGCCACAATGGGTTCTTAAACTGGACCGGAGGGCCGGAACAAAAGCATGGATGGAGTGTTTGTGTGAACTAATATAAATTCAAAGTAAACATCATTACATAAAAGGGTACGGTCTTTTTTTTTTTTAGTTTTATTCATTTCAAACGGGCCGGATCCAGCCCGCGGGCCGTAGTTTGCCCACGGCTGCTCTAGAACCAAACTACCTGTTTGAATCCTGGTACCTACAAACCCTAGCTGTGTAATCTGAAGCAAGTTCATTAACTTTTCTGTGCTTCGGCCTCCTTGTATATAAAATAGGGCAATAAAGGTAACTATCTCATTGGTCTGCTAAGACAAAGCACTTAAGACAATGTCTGCCATGTAAGAAGAATTCAATAAAATTATTTCTTACTCATGTTGGACTTAGGACAAAAACTATAATGGATTCTCAATAAGCACCACTGATAAATGAGTAGGCTCACAAATTATGAGTCTACCATTTTTATGAATGAATTAGGAAACAAAAAATAAAGCTATAATTATATAAAGATTGTAATACTTGCCATATAATTAACATTATTAAACATACAATTCTATATATATCATTCATTTTAAATAAAAAAGGTACAAAGATGACTGGGAAAGGTTCAAAATTCTAAATAATTTATTATTAGATGATTTCCGTATATCATCACCTTTTAAGCCCAGTGCCCATGTGACCAGCTTAGGAAGCTTATTTTTAAAATGCAGATTCCAGGACTCCTCTAAAGTTTTTGGATTGCAAATCAGAAATTGTGCCTAGTTCCTCAATTTTGAACAGTATCCCAGGTTTGAATACTGTTAAATGCAGTATTTTACCATACTCATTATGAACTCTAAACCCTAGTACAGGAAACTTAAATATTATGCCCTCAATGAAAAGAAGCAGAATGTTCTTATGAAAAGAATTCTTGCCCTGACCGGTTTGGCTCAGTGGATAAAGCGTCAGCCTGTGGACTCAGGGGTCCCAGGTTCGGTTCCGGTCAAGGGCATGTACCTTGATTGCAAGCACATCCCCAGTGGGGAGGGTGCAGGAGGCGGCTGATCGATGTTTCTCTCTTATCGATGTTTCTAATTCTCTATCCCTCCCCCTTCCTCTCTGTAAAAAATCAATAAAATACTTTTTTTAAAAAAAGAATTCTTAAAACTATAAAATATTATAATATTTAGAGATGTGCATGCTAGGGGAAAAATTCCTGACTTTCAGACATATTCATAGGCTACAGTAATCCTTTATTCAACACCTAATGAAAGGCCATCTCAACAAAGACCTTTAATTGATTAAGTGAAAGAAAAATAGCTTTCATTTGACAAACTGAAAAGCAATAACTATAGAGGGAAAGCAACCAATATCTATTAAGAAAGATATTCTGATGTATCCTCTGTAGGCAATTATAGTGTTCACCATGAATAAGTAAGGAGTTTCATAGAAAAGCAAAATAACAAACTCATTCTAATTATAGATACCAATCGTTACATATACACTGCATTATGCCAAGAAAATAATGTAGATACCTGATTTTGGAATTGCAGGTCATTTCATTTTCAGGGTAATGAATATCCACCGCATCCTGAATGACTGTGCCATATTCATAGACTTTAATCTTCTTTGTAACCCCAGCAATTGCAAAATAGTCACAATCCCGGTCAAATTCAATACTGAGGGGAAAAAAAAAACCACGTATATATGTGGTCAGTAAGACTATTTATCTATACTTGTGACATTTATAATGACAACTATTCAGAATTTGGTTTATTCTATTTCCGAAGTGATTCTGTCTACAATGATAAGAGATCTACTTGAAAGGCCCTCAGATTATACCAGGCCCTATGTCCAGATTAAATCATGATCAAGACATCAACTTATAAGTGGTGGTGAAATGTGCATAGCTACATAATTCTGTTTATAGATGGTTCTTTTGTTAGTAGAAACTTAGAATATTTTTTCATTTGTTTTAATAACCATAATACAACCTACCCAACTGTAAAGGCTAACAAGTTCTGCTGTAAAAGTAGTGAGGAAAGTTTAAATGGTTTGCAATATTAAATATAAGTAAAAAGAGAATTATCAATTAATCTTTTCATAAGTTCTAGCTACTCTTCTTCCTACCATTGTGTGGGGAAGATAGAATTTCACACTATTTAATGTCAGTTTAATAAATAAATTAGAATACAAGAGGAATTACTGAAGCAGATAAAAGGATAAAACACACATAAAAGTTGAATCATTAAATTATCATTACAGGCCAGCCATCTTGGCCAGTGGTTGAGCAGCAACCTGTGAACCAGGCCGTCACGGTTCGATTCCCAGTCAGAGCACATGCCTGGGTTTCGGGCTCGATCCCCAAGTGCAGGGTATGCAGGAGGCAGCCGATCAATGATTCTCTCTCATCACTGATGTTTCTGTCTTTCTCCCCCATTCCTTTCCTCTCTGAAATCAATAAAAATATCTTTTAAAAAATAAACAAAAAAACCCACAAAACAAATAAACAAAAATCCTCCCAACAAAGTCCAGGATTAGATGGCTTCACTGGTAGATTCAAAGAAGAATTAATACCAATCCTTCTCAAATTCTTCCAAAAATTAGAATAGAAGGGAACGCTTCCAAATTCTTCCAAAGTCATTTTATGAGGCCAGCATTACTCAATACCAAAACCAGACAAGGATGCCACAAGATGATGAGATGAAGCTGATGGGAGCAGATTGATGGTGGATGGTGAACCCCAACAAAAATGACTGCATAACAGATGGCCGAGAGGACATCCAAAACAGTGGTTTTCCCACCAGAACTAAGGCATAATCCCAATATCAGAGGCACTGGACCCTGGGAAAAGAGCTGGCATTGGGCCAGCTTCTTCCCCTACCATCTGAGCTGATGAACTGACTACCTGCCTGCAAGATAAAGCTCAAGTTCAAGGCTCTCTGGAGATCTGTACCATTTATTAGTTGTGTGACACCAGACAGGGCTCTTAATCGCTTTTTCATTTGTATTCTCATCCTGCAAAATGTGGGTGGTGATATTACTTCATTATTGAATGACTTTACCTTCCTCCTAGAGTGGATGGGTGGCCCAACAAAGATAACGTGACAGTACTTCGTAAACTTAAATCCTTCTGCAAATACGGACCAGTATTGAGTTTTCAGTCATTGCAGGACTGGTCCAGGACACTCTTTGTCCTTCCCTTTTAAGGAACACCTCGAGGCAAACTTCCTCCTGGTTGGATAATCAGATGAGCAGCAGTGGCCAACCTTTGAGACCTCACGGATCACCAGTGGTCTGTGGACCACCGGTTGGCGACGGCTGCTCCAAAGGTTTCCTTAAACCAGCGATCACCAACCTTTCGGACCTCACGGACCACCAGTGGTCCACAGGCCACCAGTTGGCGACCGCTGAGATGGAGGACTTGAGACTTGTATTGGTCTTCACAGGCTTTGACACATACAGGGAGGCAAAAGGGTAAGTGGAAGAGCAGGCTTCCCTGATGTCAAGGAAGCCTCTCTGGGAGGAGGTAAATGGGCTCTGAATGGTTAAAAAAATGCAGTCTGGGAGTAACAGTCTTATTTAAAACCAGAGGAATATCACTTGAATTTACCAAAATATATCAACAGGTGTGTGAATAGTGGGAAGGAGGAAGGATTAGTCATTTTATGGATTACCTGTGATATTCTTTCACAAAACAGTTAATGGATAGTTAATAATTTAGTAAGAAGCTTTGCTGAGCTAATGATGAGATAAGGAAAATAAGTACACATTAAAAAATATTTCCCATAAAAACTTGGTGAGATTCTCACTTTTCATTATAGTTTTAAATTCTTAAATTTATAAAAATTTTAAAGGAATTTCATTAAATGCTATTGACTACATCACAATTCAGCAAATGTTCCCTCCAATAAAACAGGACTATGTAGCAATGCAATAGATTTATTTGTGAACAACTTCAACTGGACTGCTATCTCAGCTACTATCCTATGGATTCTAATGCAACATAACTATATCGATGACAACTATTCAACTATCCCGACTCATTCTATACCCACAACCTCATGCCACTGAAGAAAAAATGTTACTGTGTCTGGCAAAAGACAGAGTTATTGAAGTTGAAATCCTATTCTTAACTTAGGAAGCTTTGGTATAGCTCAGACTCCATGGGAGAATCCATTATATTATCTCTAAATACTTTTCCTCCACCTACAAACATACATGGCTAATAAATCAATAGCATTCTAAAGTTGTACCAGTAAAAGTTAATGTACCCTTTTCAAACTATAGTTTTAAAAAAAAAAGTTTAAACACTGACTTATCAAAACAACTGTCCAAAGACACTGCAGGGAGAAAACTGACATATAAATAAAAATGCTACCTGTCAAAAGAATTGATTTGATGATGTAAGTCTATTATTTCTTCTGTCGCTACCCCATTACACAAGACAGTTATCTTTTCCTACAAAGATTAATTATCTACATTTGCTCATTCTTTACTAAAAAAATAACTTTTTGGTTTGACTCCACTGCTATTATTTCTTCCATTCTAGTTATGTTTTGTTCTTAATATAATGGGATATAAAGGACCTGTACTACTGTACAGAATATCCTTTTTATATTCTGGACTATCGAGGTTCTTTATAGTTTAAATCAATAAGATTTTAATAGGATTACTGACCAAAATGTATAGAGAATACTATTATTTCTAGTAAATTTTGATTAAAAGAGAAAGACAAACATCTGCCTTTTTAAAATATGCAAGTACTTCCACATAACTGAAACTCGATATTTAAGTACAGTTCTTTTAAACACTGAGTCATTTGTTCCCAATCTTAGACAGATTTAAGCATATCTGTTCCCAAACATAAACATAATTAGGATCTAAAATAGATTATGAAATAATTCAAGTGAACAATGAAGTTTTTAGAGAGCTTTTCAGAGCTTATCCAAAATAGATGATCTCTTATTTCACAATATAATATTTCAACTGCTTTAATTATGAAATGTAAACAAAAATAAACAATGATCGGTTTGGCTAAAACAAAAACAAAGTAAAAGGTAAACAAATTAACTGAAACATACCTGCTTGTGCAATTAAATTCAAGAGAATTGTAAGAAATCTTGCTTGTTATATAAAATTCATTTCTGCTATCCACTATCAGTAATTCTTAAAACAAGTGGTTTATGAAAGTTTATTGCAATGACAAATTCAATTTCATAAAATGTTTTAAATTTTAAAATACACAAACATTTTCCTTGAAAAACAGTATTAATGGAGACTTACTTTAAACATGGAAATAAATTGTAATTTTCTTTCACACTTCAAATGTGTCAACTGTTTTAAAAAAGTGATGTATTTAAAACAGTTATAAAATGTAATTCAGATGTAGGAAACTGGTTATATTCTTTGTCAAAAGGGCTATCAGTCAAGTGATTAAGCAACAAGGCCACAGATCACACAGGATAGCTGATTAATGCACACTTCCAGTACAGTGTGGCACAAAGCAATGCAAAGACGTCAATATAACAAGAAGGTAATTTTGTTCCCACAGCTTGTCATATTTTTTGCAATTATAAAACAGGTATGGACAAACAAGGCAGATTCATAACCCTGAACACTAGAATCCAATTTATCAAAAATTACGTAAAATGAACACAGTTGTTAAAGGTCTAATTCATTACCATGATAATATGCCTCAAGAGAGTGTGGTAACTATAACTTCGAGGAAACAAAGAAAGGTCGAGAAATTGGCCATTTTAATGAAAAGAAGTGGGCAGATCTTTAAAGAATATAAACACAGGCAAAGGGACAAAGGAAATTAAAACTAATGTTATCCAACTTTCTCCCAAATCAATCTTTATCCTAAAACTAGTTCAAATCTTAGTTCTGTCACTTACTAGCATTGCACTGACCTTAGACAAGTTAGAAAATTTCTCTTCACCTCAATTCCTTATCTGTAGAGTGGAATTAACAGCAATGCCTTACTCCACTGGGTTTATAAAAAATAAAATGAGTCAATGAAGCACTTACAATGTCATGTAAAATATTTACAATGGTGTCTAAAAAAGTAATCAAATACCACATCACCAGTGTAGTGACTGATCTAGCAGCAAAGAATGCCATAATATGTAACCATATTCTTATGAATTTACTAATATCTGATGATATTCTATTTACAAAATTTGAGAAAACATAAAGCAAAAATATTAAATCTCTAAACTATAAGTGGAACGTATAGTAATTCTATACATAACAATCTAGGTATGTAAAAATCAAACCAGAATCAAGAACCTAGAGCCATTGCTATTATGTAGTCAAAGTTTAAACTATGCTTTAAAACCATTCCTCTCTGGTGGCTACTCAATACCTAATTTAAGGAAAAGTGCAAAAGTGACATTACTGCTATGTGTAAGATGAGCTCTCTATGACCTTCATTGTAAACACTAATTTCCATACCTGCCTACTATTTAATTAGCTGAGATACTGTCAAAATGAACAAATGCTGAGATACTGAGATACTGTCAAAATGAACAAATGCTGCCACCTTGTGGATTTATGAGTGTGGTATTAACTCAAAATTACCTATAAGGGAAGAAAAATGTAAAAGCAAAGTTTCTGGTTCAGCTTTTTCTCTCAGTGAGATTCTCACTGCAATAAGTGACCAAGGGTAGATATATTTCTTACAATTTTACAGTAAGAATAATTTCTTCTACAACATAATGAAATATACCAAATTCAATGTCATCTCTAACATGTCTCACCACACTTCCCAAAAGAAATTCTTTTTTTTAAAAAATCCTCACCTGAAGATATGTGTTTATTAATTTTTAAAGAGAGAGAGAGAGAGAGAGAGAGAGAGAGAGAGAGAGAGAGAGAAACAACAATGTGAGATAAATATCAATTGGTTGCCTCCTGTATGCGTCCTGAGTGGGGATCAAACCTACAACCTAGGTACGTGCCCTGACCGGAAATTGAACCCGCGACCTTTTGGTGTACAGGACAATGCTCCAACCAACTGAGCCACCCAGCCAGGCCCAAAAGAAATTCATTAAAGGTCCTATTTTGAGAGGAATTAAAACCCTTTAAAACACACTTATTACCAATAATGCATTTGAATGTGAGAAAGTAGGAAAAGCAAAAAAATCATTTGTTCTATGAAAGTTTCCAAGTCCCTTCAATTACTACTTAGATACTATCTTCCTTTGTTGCTACTAACTAGTCTTCATCTGTCCTGCATAATAAAGCTTGAATATTGGAAATTTTTCTTTCAGAAATGTTATTAAAAATATTGCCTAATTATACTTATATGGGATACTTACTCAAAATCAGAGAGACAGAAAGTAGAATGGTGGTTGTCAGGACTGGCGAATGGGGAAAACGAGGAGTTCTTTTTTTAATGGGCCCTGACTTTCAGTTTTATATGTCAAGTATTAAGGAGATGGATGGTGGTGACAGTAGCACAGTATTAGGAATGTATTTAATATCACTGAATAGTAACTTGTTAAGATTGCAAATTTTGTGTTATGTGTATTTACCATAATAAAAATATTTTGGAGAAAAGAGAGATATCACATCAAAATCTGTGGCATGCAGCCAATGCAGTGCTAGTAGGAAAATTTGTAACACAAATTGCTGGAGACCAATTCCAGCATGACAGCAGGGCTGCATCTGGGAATGGCTGAAGGCATTTCCCCAAACCTGAATAGGATACATTAAATTGATTCTTGGCTGCCAGACAGTTAAAGGGCATCTTAACCTACATGTTATTGCCTCCTACTAGCCAAACACCTGAACAGCGGTAGGCTAATTTCCCCATTCTGACAATGGACTCTGTACTGAAACCCTGACCCTTTGAAGTGTATATCTCTGCCTTGCCTCAGGACATATTGTGTTAATAAAAAGCATGGGGTCCTGGGATGAGGAGACCTGAGAATTTAGATCTTAGATGTTAGCTTCTTTAGCTAAGCTCCTCTGACCCCCAAATGCCTTTCAAAATTATACTTCGTCTCTGGACTCTTATTTAAAATCTACGCATAGCCTTCTCCAAATTCCTGAACCCTTCTTGATGCTGGGACAAGAACCCTCGCACAAATTATCTACAATAAAGAAGAAACAAAAAGATAAGGGCAAATTAAACCTAAAGAAAGCAAAAAAGGCAATAAAGAGTAGAAATCGATGAAACAGAGAGCAGAAAAATAGAGAGTATCAATAAACCAAGAGCTGGCTCCTGAAGAAGATAAATAAAATTAATAAACTTCTAAACCAGACTACTAAGTGAGGGGCGGGGTGGGTGAGACAAATTTCCAATACCAGGAATGAGAAAGTGAGCATCATTACAGAATTTAAAGATACTAAAAGGATAATAAAGGAATATTATAAACACTTGTTCACAAATAAATTCAACAACGTAAGTGAAATGGACAAATTCCTTAAAAGACAAACTAAAAATATGCTCAATCAAGAAGAAATGGATATTTGGTTAGCCCTACATATATTAAAAATTAAATTTGTATTTAAAAGTTTTCCCCCAGAGAAAACTCAAGGCCAAGATTGCTTCACTGGAGAATTCTCAAATATAAGGAAGAAATAATACCAATTCTTTACAAACATGTCCAGAAAACTGAAGAAGAGGAAGCACTTATGAGGATAGCATACCTTCTCACCAAACCAGTCAAGGACATTATAAGAACACAACTGCAACCCTATGCGGTGAATACTATTAATCATCCCATTCTTGAGATGAAGAAACTAATGGCTGAAGAGATTGAAAACTGGCCTAGGACCAAAGAACTAAAAATTGGCAGGCAACTGACTTCAGAACATAAGAGTCTTAACCATAACACTATAACCGCTTCTCAAATTCAATTAAATTCTAGATACTCTTGCAAAAGGAAATAGTGGAGTGCTGCCCAGTACTTACCTAGAGACTATGCTGGAACCATTATAGAGATCACTAGCATATGACAGAGTAGCCAAAGGTCGTACTGAATTATATCGAGTAAACTTGGACAAACATTCCTGAAATTCATCCAACTGGCTTGCTGTTCGACTGTCATCTATATAAATAAAATAAAGTAAAATAAAATAAAATAAAATAACTGCAACATCCAAGAGCAATAGTCACAAATTAAGAATAATATTTTAAATACAACAATTCTTCCCACTCTTGAGATGAAGAGACTGAGGGCTAAAGAGATTGAAAACTTAGCCGATCTTTCAATTTTAATAACCCTTTAAAGATTTAAAACTTAGCCAATTCATTAACAATCTACATTAAAAGGGTCCAATTTGTAGTGTTTCTATTCTAAAAACAGCAAAAGGAACAAACTAGCATGAAATATCATAATGTTATTGAGATAAGGCTCCTGCTACACAAAAATTATTCTCAGGAAATTTAACAAATTATAAGTAAAACATAGGTTATTGTAAAAAAAAAAAAATCAACTGTATTACAAAGTGGTTTGAAGGTACAGTTAATTGGTTCTCAAAAAAATCAATTATCATAAAGCGGTTTAGATGTAACAGTTAATTAGTTCTTTTCATATATAATCCTATTATTGTGAATGATGTAATAAATACTGGGAAGGCAGTTACTTTATTCATTTAAAATTTATTTTAATGCTAATCTATTCTTTCTCATTTTACATCAATCCCTAAGTACATAAAATTCACAAGTATTTAAGAATGTGTATTCTGCCCAGCAGACATGGCTCAGTGGTTGATCATTGATTTAGGAACCAGGAGGTCACAGTTCAATTCTGGGTCAGGGCACATGCCTGGGTTGCAGGCTTGATCACCAGTGTGGGGTGTGCAGGAGGCAGCCAATCAATGATTCTCTCTCATCTTTGATGTTTCTATCCCTCTCTCCCTCTTCCTTCCTCTCCGAATAAAAATATTTTAAAAATAATAAAATGTGTGTTCTGTTGAAGACCATAATCCTTTTCTAGGGTTGCATCATGCCATCATTAATTACATTAACACGTACTTTCAACAGAAGTAATAAAGAAAATACTAAAAATAGTCATTTCTGTATATGAAAGTATAGGAATTAAATTTTACTTATGTGGTTATAAAAAGGTAGAATTTTATTTCCTTGATTGGCTTATGAACATCCATACATATCTGCTAGCATATCACCTCTCCTGTCTTAATTACAGATTATTTTATAAAAGTGTATCTATTCAGTGTCTCTTTTACCTTTTCTAATGCTTTATAATTTACCTCCTCTTTCAATTACAATTGAGAACCAAGGCATTAATTTCTTAATCTTCATCTTTCATTTTCATAGGTGAAAATAAATAGTGGAGAAAGGGGATGTAGGACGGATTCTCATTTGAAAATACACAAAAGAACAACCAAACTTTCAAGTACCCTAGAAGGAACTTCATATTCAGCAATATGATTAGTGTAGTCAATGTGCACATCTGACAAGAAAAGCTTGAGATTCCTAAAAACTAAGGACAATGTGTATTAGGTATAATACACCGTGTTCAGCCAAAACTGGTTTGGCTCGGTGGATAGAGCATCGGCCTGTGGACTGATGGGTCCCGGGTTCGATTCCGGTCAAGGGCATGTACCTGGGTTGCGGGCACAACCCCAGTGGGGGATGTGCAGGAGGCAGCTGATCGATGTCTCTCTCATCGATGTTTCTAACTCTCTCTCTCCCTTCCTCTCTGTAGAAAATCAATAAAATATATATATATAAAAAAAAAATACACCGTGTTCACAAAAATAAAAATCTAACCTTCCTCTTGGTCTTCACTTATCATTCTACTTAAATCCCCAAAATAAATTAAATTGGTTTGTGATTACCTTTACCATCCTAAAGCATACCTATGCTGCTAATTAGTTAAAAATTATTAATAGCAATAGCCTAGCCCCGTGGTTGGCAAACCGCGGCTCACGAGCCACATGTGGCTCTTTGGCCCCTTGAATGTGGCTCTTCCACAAAATACCACGTGCAGGCGTGCACGTAAAGTGCGACTGAAACTTCGTGGCCCATGCCCAGAAGTCGGTATTTTGTGGAAGAGCCACACTCAAGGGGCCAAAGAGCCGCATGTGACTCGCAAGCTGTGGTTTGCCAAGCCGCAGTTTGCCGACCACTGGCCTAGCCCAATCTTTCTGATCTTTTTTTTAATGTCTGCCACTTGCCATCTGGAAGGGCTAACATGAACCTTCCTTCTGTCAATCAGAATGTAAGTCTCAAAACACTTTCAAATTAACAGCTACCTGTTGCAATTTATAGACTACTAGAGGCCCGCTGCACGAAATTCGTGCACTCAGGCAGGTCCCTCAGCCCGGCCTGCACCCTCTCACAGTCTGGGAGCCCTTAGGAGATGTCCAACTGACAGCTTAGGGCGATGCCATGGTGATGATGAAAGTTGGGCCTAAGCCATCAGTCGGACATCCTTAGCAGTGCCGCAGAGGTGGGAGAGGTTCCTGCCACTGTTGTGTGCTTGCCAGCTGTGAGCTCAGCTCAGGGCTTCTGAGTGAGCAGCGCTCCCCCTGTGGGAGCACACTGACCACCAGGGGGCAGTTCCTATGTTGAGCGTCTGCCCTCTGGTGGTCAGGTGTGCGTCATAGTAACCAGTCGTTTTGCCATTCGGTTGATTTACATATTAGCCTTTTATTATATAGGATTATATAGAATTACAGAGGCTCGATAAAGGACTCGATTTCGAGGCAAGAAAATAAAAGCTTTCCATCTGTATATTAATTGATTGTTAATTTCAAACACACTTATCAACAGAGCTTGGCTTCCTCCTACTTTTCATAGGAAAAATCCTATATAAATCTAGTATTTCTTTCCTCTACCATCAATCCTGAGGCATATTTGTCCAAAGGAACCCATGCTTGAAGTAATGTGCAAATTATAATACAAACATGCCCATTCAAGAGAAAACCAAGGCCAAATTTTTAACAACTCACAAAATAGTGGACATTTGTATCCTTAGTGGCTCTCAACTTGAGCAGGTGTACTACTAATGACATGAATTAACTGAGCATCCAACTTATCACCAATCATTGTAAATTATATACTTCACTTAAAAACTGAAAAACAAAACAAAAACCCGTAGGATTGGTATTAATGGCCCAACTTAATTGGTGAGCAAAGATGCCAAGAAAAGCTAAAGATCAGAGAGCTAACAAAAAGCAATAAAATACCTTATACTATCACATCCATGTCTTTGCATAAGTTATTTCCTCTACTTTGAACATGTTTTTGCTTACCTTTTTTAATTAATTAATACTAGCCTGGACTAAATACAACTCTTCAGAAATCCCTACAGCAATTATTCCCTCTTACATTTTCCCAATACCAAAGCTGGGAGAGATATTCATCTCTCTTCTCATAATACCCTTTGCATGTTTATATAACATACATTATCCCATACAATTTACTTGTTGCGTTCTCCCACTATGTTTATACTACTCCTTGACAATAAAACCCAGTTCTTACAGCTTTTCATTCTTAGCACAGAAGACAGTGCTTAGAATTTAATAAATGTTGGATAATAAAGGCAACTGAATGGAACTTATTTTTGCTATCTACATATACATGGCTGTGTTTTTTTAACTTTATATAGTTCACTATATAAAGATTAAAAATTCCAAACACAGAAAGAGAACAAAACTAGCTATGGGAAAGCAATGGTCTCCAAAATTTCTAAGAACCTTTACAACGCTCTGATAGCCTATGTCAAAAATACACACTTTTGCTTTATAAATAGGACTTTCCATAAATCCAGCATAGGACAGTAAAGATGGATCTGAAATTTAAATTTGAGATATTTTATTGGGATGATTATGTATTTAATTTGGAATGTCTGGTCACTGGGGTGGATAAAAATAAAAAATATAATTAAAAGTTTAAAAATTAATGAAGTCCTGAATGTGTACCTGAGATACGAGACATCCTTGTAGAAAAGTAACATTGCTCTAAGTCTTCAAAATGAGCAGTGAGTCGTTTTCGTCTTGAAGCTAAAGTGCTGTTATACCAAGGCTGTTTCTTTGTCTAAGGTGATAACAAGAAAAGATACTTATAACTCAGAAAAAAAATACTTTCTGCACAGAATAACTAACTTCAAAAGTTCATCACATTAAAATAATTACAAATGGTAAAAACCCATAGTTCTTACACATTTTCTAATTTTTTACTTAAAGTGAAAATATAGGTTCTTAAGGCCAATTTTATAAAAAATACTAGAGGCCCGATGCACGAAATTCGTGCAAGAGTGGGCCTTCCTTCTTCTGGCTGCTGGCATCGGCTTCCCTCTGGCATCTGGGACCCGAGCTTCCCTTGCAGCCCCAGCTTCGTCCGGAAGGTCATCCGGAAGGACAGACGGTCTAATTAGCATATTACGCTTTTATTATTATAGAAGACGAGAAGCTTCTTTCAGTTCTCCAAATTAAGTAAAGATAAAATCCATTATAACTGTCATTCTAAAATTTAGAATTTTACGAATTTTAATATGTAGAAATTGTTAGAAGACAATCATCAAAAGAAAACTACTTTTCCATCATCCCTATGTTGTAGCCTTTAACCCTTTGAATAACAGGAACAGTGCTTGACTGTACAGAATATGTATTTAAGTTAAAATTGAATATGAGTAAGGGGCAGTAATATGCATGCACTAAATAGTTTGACATATATTTTAGAAAATCAGAATAACTAAAACACATATATATAGACAAAGACAACAAACCTGAAATATATTGGCATATAATTCCTATAAAAAATACAGTTGACCCTTGAACAACACAGGCTTGAACTGCACAGATTCACTTAAACGCAAATTTCCCCGCCAATAAATATTGTAAATGTATTTTCTCTTTATGATTTTTGTAGAATATTTTCTTTTTTCTACCTTACTTTATTGTAAGAATATAGTATATAATATCCTATATAATAAAAGCCTATATGTTAAGTGTCCTGTCGTCCGTTCAACCAATTAAAACGTAATATGCTAATGATATGCTAAGGCTGCTCAACCGCTCGCTATGACGTGCACTGACCACCAGGGGGCAGACGCTCCGACTGGTAGGTTAGCTTGCTGCTGGGGTCTGGCCAATCAGGACTGAGTGAGATGAGCCGGACACGCCCTGGAGCCCTCCTACAATCCCTCCCTGGCTGACCAACCTCCCACATCCCTCCCTCGCCCCGATTGTGCACCAGTGGAGTCCCTCGACCTGGCCTGCGCCCTCTCACAATCCAGGAACTCTTGGGGATTGTTGGAGAGCCAGTTTCGGCCCAATCCCACAGGCCAGCCCAAAGGACCCCACTGGTGCATGAATTTGTGCACCAGGCCTCTAGTATATAATAACATAAAATGTGTGGTCCCCCGCATTATTTAAGGGTCAACTGTATATAATATTACCTAAACCATGTTAACTGAAAGAATAAAACAATTCTTCCACAGTGGTTATTATCGATTATGCTTGAGGCAAAGAAACAAATACAGACATAAGATACATCAGACCTTGAGAGATGACACAAGTTCACCGATAACTATGCCACAACTGCGAATGTATTAAGAAATATTAAGACATTATTATGAATAAAACACTAACATGAACCCTTGCTCAAATTAGATGGTAGGTAACAATCATATTTTAAAGCAGTGCTTGAATCAGTCGTTCATTTTATATACATTTGATATATTTCTATGGTTTTTGTTTTTGCTTTTAAGGGCATCTTTGTATGTCTCTTGATGCATAGGTGTGAGAGTTTCTCTAGATTTTATACCTAGGAGAGGAAGCAAGGGTCATTTGGTATACACATCAATGTTTGATCTATGTATCTGCTTTTATGCTAATATCACACTCTTCTGATTACTTGTAGCTTTGTAATATAAAAGTTTCAAATCAGGAAGTGTGGCGACTCCAGCTTTGTTGTTCTTTGGCTATTTTATTTTACCCCATTTGGAACTTTCATCAAAAATATGAGCCCGGCGTGCATGGCTCAGTGGCTGAGCGTCAACCTATGAACCAGGAAGTCACAGTTTGATTCCCAGTCAGGCACATGCCCAGGGTTTGGGCTCGATCCCCAGTGTGGGGCGTGTAGGGGGAGCTGATCAGTCATCTTCCATTTCACCACTAATCTGCACTGACCAACCTTCACCACAGGCTAAACTCTTAATTACCTTTCAGTTGGCATTTAAATTTCTTTTGTGCTCATTTGGCTATAGCAGTCTCAGAATACATTTAATAACTTATTGGATGAATGCCATCATAATTATTATTCCTCTGAATCATTCATTCTATCAATTAATTAAAGTCAGTTGGTCACTCTGCACACCCTTAAAAATATTCTTGAGATTTTTTTTTATCCAATTGCACTAAATTAATACTTATGATAACTGGTATATTCAAATCTATTTTTATAAAAGAGTAATATGCAAATTGACTGAATGGTGGAACAAGCAGAATGACTGCTCGACCAGTTGCTATGAGGAGCACTGACCACCTCTTGGTCCCTCCCCGCCAGCCAGCAGGCTCCGATCGCTGGATGTGAATGGGGAACCAGGGGCGGGTGGCGGGGGATACGGGTGGTGCCAGGCCAAGGCCCCCACCCCGCCGGTCACCCCACACACAGAGAGCGACGCGCAAAGGGTGGGGCTGGCGAGCAGGTGGGAATGGCCTACCTCTCGGTCCCTCCACCGGCTGGCAGGTTCCGATTGCCCAATGGTGAATGGGGAACTGGGGGTGGGTGGCGGTGGGGGCGGGGCTGGCTGCTGGGGAAGATGGTCCTGATAGCAGGCCAGGCCTAGGGACTGTACCCACACACGAATTTCATGCATCAGGTCTCTAGTAGTTCTATAATTTTTTTAAATCTATTTATTTTATTTAAAAGTATACATTTAAGGTTGGAATTTTATTAGCTTCAGCATTAAATTATTTTAATCTGCTCAATATTATAATAGCCAACTTCAATTATGTATTAAAACATTTTACTTTAAAAAAAAAAAAAAAGAAGCCCTGACCAGTTTGGCCCAGTGGATGGAGCATCGGCCTGGGAACTGAAGGGTCCCAGGTTCGATTCCAGTCAAGGGCATGTACCTTGGTTGCTGGCACATCCCCAGTAGGGGGTGTGCAGGAGGCAGCTGATCAATGTTTCTCTCTCATCGATGTTTCTAACTCTCTATCCCTCTCCCTTCCTCTCTGTAAAAAAACAATAAAAATACATTTTAAAAAATAAAAAACATTTTACTGAAGCCCGGCTGATGTGGCTCAGTGGTTGAGCATCAACCCATGAACCAGGAGGTCATTATTCCATTCCTGGTCAAGGCACATGACTGCATTGCAGGCTCGATCCAGTATGGAGCATGCAAGAGGCAGCCGAACAATGATTCTCTCTCATCATTGATGTTTCTCTCTCCCCTTCTCCCATCCTCTCTCTGAAATCAATAAAAACATATTTAAAAACTCACACAAAACATTTTACTGTATTTGAGCTCTTTTTGTATTTCTCTCTCTGTTTTTACCATCTGAAGCCTTTACCAGCTTCTTGAGTTGAATGCCTAGTTCATTTACTTTCATTCATTAAAAAAAAAGAAGAAGAAAAAAAAAAGAATCCATTTAAGGATGTAAATTTTTGAGGACAATTCTGATCACATTTCATAAATTTTGATATTCAGTATTTTCACTAGCACTATTTTTCTAACTGTTTGTAGCAGCATCTAAAACTACTCTTTGACACAAAGGCATTTAGGAAAGTATTTCGTTTACTCACTTCCAAGTTGTCTGTCTCTGTCTAAATATGTACTTATTTGGGGTTCGAATATAGAGAATGCAGTCAATCCATTTTTCTAAATGCTACAGAAATATTATCAATTTACTAAAGGCCCAGTGCACGAAATTTGTGCCCTCGGCGGGGGGGGGGGGGGTGGGGGGGTGGTGTCCCCCTCAACCCAACCTGCACCCTCTCGCAGTCCATGAGTCCTCAGGGGAGTGGGCCTAAGCCAGCAGTCGGACATCCTTAGTGCTGCCGTGGAGGCGGGAGGGGCTCCCACCACCGCTACTGTGCTCATCAGGCGTGAGCTGGGCTTCTGGCTGAGCGGTGCTCCCCCTGTGGGAGCGCACTGACCACCAGGGGGCAGCTCTTGCATTGAGCGTCTGCCCCCCGGTGGTCAGTGCATGTCATAGTGACCGGTCGTTCCACCGTTCAGTCAGTTTGCATATTAGCCTTTTATTATATAGGACTAGAGGCCCGTTGCTCGAAGAGATTCATGCAATAGGCCTTCCTTCCCCTGGCTGCCAGCCCCGGTTTCCTCCGGCACCCGGGACCCAGGTCTTCGCTCCAGCCGCAGCAGAGAAGCCAGACCTCGAGGCTTCTCCACTCCAACCGCAGCAGAGAAGCCAAGCCTCTTCAGTCTTCAGTCGTCTTGTCTTCAGTCTTCGCTCAGGTGGAGCCTTCAGTCTTCGCTCCACGCCTGCATATGCAAATTAACCGCCATCTTTGTTGGGTTAATTTGCATGCTCATCCTGATTGGCTGGTGGGCATAGCGGAGTGACACCAATTTGCATGTTTCTCTTTTAGTGTAGATAATCCTTTCATGCAAAGTAAAAAGTGAGACAAGTGCCCATTTAACTGATCTAACTCAATGAAAAATCAAGTCTTTATAATGCATAAGAAGTCATGCACCAAGTGGAACTTTGTTATATTTTTACCTCATTTCTACTTTTCTCCCCCTTGTTCACTTCTGGATGATGTCAGGCATTCTCCTACCTCAGGGCTTATTTACTCATTATCTCTCTGCCTGGAACTTCTCAGAGTTAAGCATGTAGCTTGCTCCCTCACCTCCTCTTTGTTCAAGGATAACTTATTAGTATCTCTCCAACTAGACTGGAAACTTGGTTACTCAAGATTTTTGTCTGTTTCGTTTTTGTTCAACAATGCATCCCCAGAACCTAAAATAGTGCCTGATAAATAGCAGGTACTCAAAAAAATAAAAATAAAAAATCGGTTGGATAAATGTGTATTTGAAAGCATAGGCTCTGAAGCCATAATGCTTGAGTTAAAAATCTCAGTTTCCTCCTCTTATTAGTTATATAACCTTGGGCAATCTCATTAACTTCTCTGTGCCCCAGTTTCCTCCTCAATAAAATAGGAAATAATAGGAATAGTACTTATCTTATAGGAAGTTCTAAGGATTAGTTAATACATGTAAAGTACTTTGAGCAGTGTCCATGAATAGCAAGTACAAAAATAAACATTACCTAGCTACTATTATTACTACTTTAATTACTTCTTGAGCTAAATTTTTAAATCACACAACCATGTTTAAGTTTTAATCAATTTTTTAAAGTTTCTTACAGTTTTGCTTTACATAAATTCCAATGGTTACATCCAAATCTGGTGTTTTCATGGTTGTTCAAGAATAGATACAAACCAATGTATAAACTTACTAGAAAAAAAGAATAGGCCAAATACATGCATGCATATGAAGATAATACAAGAAGTGCAGAGTAGTTACACAAAGGTAGTTATCTAAGTAATGGAAAAAGAAAAACATAAAAACTGTATGATCCAAAAGATTTTCTTTTCACTATGATAAAAATAACTACATTATTACATAAAGTGAATATACAAATGAACACGAATTTAAAAACACCTCATTTTTTCCTCTTACTAAAAGGATAATATTAAGACAATTTTTAAAATCTGAATAAGATATAGAAGTTAGATAATAACTCTATATCAATGCCAACTTCCTGAATTTTAAATTATATTATAATCATGAGACAATATACTTGATTTGAGGAAATACACACTCAAGTATTTAGAGGCAAAGGAACATTATGCCTGTACCTTGTTCAAACAATCCACACAAAAATTTTATGTGTATGTAGTAAGACAGAATGAGAATAAAACAAATGTAATCAAATATTAACATTTGGATAACCTGGATAAAGAATATAAAGGAATGCTTTTTTATCACTCTTGTAACTTTTCTCTAAGTCTAAAATTATTTCAATACAGAAACTTTTTTAAAAAAAGATCTGGCCTCAAAATTAGATTTGACAAATATCAGGATTCCTAAGTCACAGATAAAGAGACTAAAGTGTCTAAATGATCATAACAATTCTATCTAATTGAGGGAATATGCTAATTGACCCTCATGCCATCGCAAAGATGGCGGCGTCCACAGCCAATAAGGAGGGAATATGCTAATTGACTGCCATGACCTCAAAGATGGCGGTGCCCACAGCCACAAGATGGTGGCGCCAGGTCCCCTTAGCCCCACCGGGGCGGCAGGCATGTGGCAAGGCCAAGCCCGCCCCCAGGAAGGCCCACGCTCTGCGTGCCTGCCTCCAGAGTCCCCCAGTTCCCTCAGCCCCCCAGCCGCCCAGGGCCGGCCCGAGGTGCAGGCAAGCCTCGGATGTTGGCTGCCCAGCCGCCCAGGGTCACGCGAGGCTCAGGTAACCAGGGCCGGCCGAGGCTCGTGCTGCCAGCAGTGGCAGCAGCAGACGTGTGATGGGGCGTCACCTTCCCCTGATCACCAGGTCGTCTCCTGCCCCTGAGGGCTCCCAGACTGTGAGAGGGGGCAGGCAGGTCTGAGGGGAACCCCCCTCCAGTGCATGAATTTTCATGCACCGGGCCTCTAGTTAATTAGAAAAGAGGTGAAGCTAGAGTGTATTTTACTTAAACCTGTAGTTTACTTTCCACAGAAAAATATAAGGTTTCAACTTAATGATGAGCAATTCATCAACAGATTACTTCCTTATCTCTGAGAGAAACAATATCCTAATTATTCATAATTTCCTCTTACAGTATTTAATTCTTCTCAAGGTCTGATGTTACCATTACCAGCATGTTAAAAAAAATATATTTTTAACTCATCACTGATGAGCAAATAAATAGCTGATTATGCATCAGACCTACTCAAGTCCCAATCAATGTCACAGCATTCAAAACAGAAATCTTTATGACAGGACATTACAGTAAACCAATCTGATTTTACAATTCAAATTATTATATTCATAGTACCACCAAAACATATTTGTAAGCGTATAATTTACCTGAGAACTGCCACTGAAACCTGGAGGTTGGCTGTATTCTGTGGAATCAATAATACTACTGCAAAAAAAGAGAGAAAATGTGATTTCAGTGTTTATATTATTTTATCAAGAAAAAAAGCAAAACTAAAATATGTGAATCCAACATTTATAATTTCTAAGCAAATAAAATATTTATTGCCAATAATTTAATTAGACTAAGCAAACAAAAAAATCGCAAATATTTAAACAAGTTATCCCTTTACCCCACCACCTTAAACATGCACACCATGAAGGAATATCAATAAAAAATAAGCAGAGGACAGGTGCATACACAGATGTAACTGCTTCAATTTGGTTTTCAGATGTTAATAAGTTGTTTGAAACCCCATGTAAGGAAGAGTATTGGGAAAAGAGCACAAGCATGCGGTCAAAAGCGATGGTAAACAGATACTGCTATGCACTAAAGAGCTATGTGTCCTTCGACAAGTACTTTAAAACCACTCAGTTTTGCCTGATGGCGTGGCTCAGTGGTAGAGCATCCACCTGTGTGGATCAGGAGGTCACTGTTCGATTCCTGGTCAGGGCACATGCCTGGGTTGCAGGCTCCATCCCCAGTGTGGGGCATGCAAGAGGCAGCTAATTGAAGATTAGCTCACTTTATCTGTTTCTCTCTCTCTCTCCCTCTTGCTTCCTCTCTGAAATCAATAAAAATATATTTAAAAAATAAAAAGAAGAAACCACTCAGTTTCCTATCTACAAAGAGAGATGAGTGGAACTAACTTATCTTTATAATATATATAGTCCCTTTCCAGGTCCAAAATGTTATAATAATCATCTCACATGAAAGAAAGCAATCAAAAGAATAAAATAAATGGTAGAATACCAATAATCTTTCTTTCATACCCAAAACCTATGCACCAGTTTTCTCTGCTCTGGTCAAGCGTAATTTACTTTCTGCATTGATTCTTTACATTTGGTTATATGGTCTGTGCATTCTCCTACTTAACACAAGAAAAACCTCTAGAAGTCCAGACTATCTTGCCATTTCTATCTTATCACTTCATTACTTTCACTGCCTTCCTATCTCTAAACAAAATAAATTAGCTTATGAAAACTATTAGCACCTGAAAATGGCACAACATATATACCAGCCATCATAAACCAACAGTTACTTACATTTTAAAAACTCTTCTTCCTTATTTCTACTATAAAAATATTTACATTGTCTACTCTAATAAATTTAAGCAATTGAGGGTATTAAAATGGTTCTCTCTGCACAAATAAACATAATCATTATTTTAGGTTAGTACTCAAATAACCTCAAAGGTTATAACATAAGAGGCACTCTTAAGAGCACAAAGTGGGTTTGAATTTCATCCCATACCAGCTAAATGACTCTGGGTAAGTTACTAATGTTAATTTGGTCTCTAGTTTCTCTATCTATTAAATGAGTTAGACACTTCAGAGAGATATGAAATTTAAATAAATATGTTAAGTTCTCAGTGCAATGCCAAAAAATGGTAAAAACTCAATTAATTTCACCCTCTAGTAATAAAATTAGTCAATAACATTGAACCTCACATTTAAAAAAATACAATAAATCAGATGGAACTGTCTTCACAGTAGTCTTTTTCAAAAGCAACACATATTACTAGATCTTAATTCATTGTGTTCTTAACTGTTTCTATAGTAAGACTTAATTATATAAGAAAGAGCCTTCTAAGCACTTACACTAAAAATTAAAAAATTAACACATAATGGGTTCTCTCAAAATGGGTTTCTTTTGATGAAATATAATTAATGTTCACATTCCTTGCACAGAGTATAACAAGATCACATGCTATTTTCAGTATACTCCATCCAGGGCTAACAGGGCTAAAAATAAGGATATGCCAGGCATTCAAAAATGTTACTTTTACTAATAAAATCCATTCCCCTAGCATTTGTATAAACATTAATAAAATCATGTAGCTGTGTATGTAGAGGTCAAATGAACAGAGAAATTTCTAGATGTGATTTTTTATGGTGTTATAATTCAGATTTCTTTGACCACAAATCTGAACAATGATACTGATATATTAGTGTGTATAAAAAATATTCATCTGACACAAACAACAGTATGGTGATTACCAGAGGAACAAGGGAGGTGAGGGCAGGTAGAAGAGAGTAAGCAGGGGATAAATGGTGATAGAGATTTGACTTGGAGTGATGAACACAATATACAGATGATGTATTAAAGAATTGTACACTTGAAACCTATATAATTTTATTAACCAATGTCACCCCAATAAATTCAGTTAAAAAATACTCATCAATTTGTTGAAGGTATTGATATTACAAGTTTTAAATGGTACTTTAGTAGTAATATCTGCAGTTTGCAATTTATTTTTATATCAAGTTTTACTTTTATTCACTAAGAAAATTTTACTACTGCATACAGACTGTGACAGAAGAAATCTGAAAAATAAGCCTAATTCTGTCCTTTTTTTTTTTAATCCTCCCCGAGGACATGTTTATTGAAATATGGCCTATTCATACCTCAGAATTCAGAATTGGAAGGAATTGTCAATAGCTTCATTGAGCAGTGTCAATTCCAGCTTATAACAAGAACCTAAAGAAGTTTTTTGTTTGTTTTTTAATATATTTTATTGATTGTTTACAGAGAAGAAAGGAGAGGGATAGAGTTAGAAACATCGATGAGAGAGAAACATCGATCAGCTGCCTCCTGCACACCTCCTACTGGAGATATGCCCGCAACCAAGGTACATGCCCTTGACCGGAATCGAACCTGGGACCCTTCAGTCCGCAGGCCGACGCTCTATCCACCGAGCCAAACCAGTTAGGGCAAGAACCTAAAGAAGTTTTTTAAAAATCCCGAAATGCCTATTAATCAAATATGATTACTAAAGTTTTTAGCTAAAGTCATTTTGATTATTTTAACTCTTGAAACTGAAAGTCTATTTATACCATATTTTAAGCAGAATAACTGATTTGCCAGCATAACTTATTTTCCATCCTACAGCTGTGGAACTATGATAGCAGGGTTCTAGGTCTGTCATATTCACAACTGTATTCCCAGTGCCTAAAACAGTGTTTTATACATGTCTGATACAATCCCAAAACTGGCTGAGTGACTAAGAATAAATTCTTCAAATATTCTAAATAAAGAAAATGTACTGTTTCAAAATGGTTTTCATAACTTGCTATATATGCCTATTACCTATCAATTTAATGAGAAATTACAGATATAGGAAGAGTAACCTCTCTATTATTGCCAAGGAAGTTTGATTTCTGTGTTTTGTGTTTTTGTTTTAGCTCAAGTTAAAATTTCTGTAAGATTGTTGAATGATCCTCCATCGCCTATGACACCAAATTCAACACCTTTGCATAGTATAGGGTTAGAGTTAAGGTGAATATCCCATGTACTCCCAACAATAAAACAATCAACTGGTTTTACTACTTTTCCACACAATAAACTTCATTAAAATACAGCAAAACATGCCGTAGCTGGTTTGGCTCAATGGATAGAGCGTTGGCCTGCGGACTGAAGGGTCCCGAGTTTAATCCCGGTCAAGGGCACATGTTCGGGTTGTGGGCTCGATCCTCAGTAGGGGGCGTGCAGGAGGCAGCCAATCAATGATTCTCTCTCATCATTGATGTTTCTATCTCTCTCTCCCTTTCTGAAATCAATAAAAATATATTTTTTTAAATACAGCAAAACATCATTTGTGTTCAAAAGTTCTCCGTGCAGGTGTAGCAGATATTTCTTAAGATATGTTTATAATCATCTAACCTTGGGGAGAAGCTACTTAAGAGATGATTCCATGAAGCTTCTAGGCAAAAGGAACAGTATATGTAAAGGTAACCTAATATCCTGTTTTGAGAATTAAATTCTAATCCATAAAAATAGTAGGCAGAGTACAGGTGAGTGTAAAAGACCATGCAACAGAGCTGGATCTAAACCAATTTACATACAATGGAAAGCCACCGAAGAATTTTAAGCAGAAAAGAAACATAGTAAAATTTCTGGCAATATGCTTTGGGGGATAGTTAAAAATCAATGCTGGACTCCATGAGATATTGAGTTTAAACAAGGCAGCAGGAAGAGAATTGACTGGATATGGTAATTATAGCTGATCACAGTATATAGAATACAAAATCCTGGGGGTAGGAGGTCCACTACTTGTCTTTCTCTTTTTTTCATTTAAATATATAATCTAATTGCAAACTCAGAATCTATCATATAGAGAATTCAATGACCTGACATAAAGAAGGTCCTTAGTATAGAAATAAAAGAATCTACAAACAGGCCTTTAAAATAATAAACCTGCTTAAAAGAAATCAAAACATTAGAGTGAGGAATAAAAATTAAAACTGGCAAATAATAAAGCTAATAATTATGAGGGATAGTTATAATTGCAATTACAGATTATTTCTTAAAAATAAGGAAAAATCAACTATTGATAGTATAACAAGACATTCTTCTCAGCATGTTCAATTTCACATCCCAAACTTAAGGGTCATTTTCCAAGAGTATTTAAGAGCAACATTATTTTTTCCAAATGCCTTTCTCAAACTCTGAAGAATATTAAAACTACTTGTTTTAATAAAATGTCAAAACACTCTTTTGAAGAAAATATCATGTTTGACTATTTTCCCTTCTTCAACTGTTCACCAGTCTAAGTCTGCCAGAATCGCTTTTGATGATAGCTTTAAATACTAGTTTACAAATTTTTCAACAATGTTTTCATAAATTTAATGAAAGCCCTATATCTTTTATAAGATATGCTACTTTATTTTACAATACAACGACTTCTCATCTCTTCTACCATTAAAATCCTAATCCAGGCCATCATCTCCTGTCCTCTGGACTGTTGCAATGATTCCTAACTTTCCTCCCGGCTTCCAATGGCAGGAGACTGAAAGCGACACAACTTTTCTCTATCCTCCACATGGAAACCTCAGTACACATTTTAACATCTAAACCACATCCTGCTCAAAACTCTCCCATGACTTTCAATCATATTTACACTTCATCATTTGTCACCTTAAATGCCAGCTCTTCGGAGAAGCTCGCCTTTCCAAACTAAAACAGAATCTCTGCAAATCCCTAGTATGCCTAATTTTACCTCCTGAGGCTCTACTTACATGTTATCTACTACTTCTACATTATAAATTTGCTTATTTAGTATCTTCCCCAACCTCCACACATATACTCCCCCAAAAGGTAAATATCATAGGGGAGGATTTTGCCAACTAGATTCAACATCTAACAGTGTCAAGCACATCAGAAGCACTGAATAGAGCCAGTTACATGAATATATTATTATCTTGTTAGATGTTAATAAAAGCCATCAGTGAGAGACAGAGTAACAAAGACTGAGTAACATAGATTTAACATTAAATCTATGAAAACACAATAGATACAAAGACATGCTACTATTAGAGGGAGAGGGATATGATAATGGGAACTATTAGTTTATTAGTGAATATTTCATGATGTGACAACTTTTGCCTTCCTGCATGTACTAACATAGTAAACATTCCATGGACAAAGATCCCATGTATATTAGAAAGTGAAAGCTAAGCTTAAAAATAACAGAAACTGAGTCATTCCCAAGAGTTTTAAATAAGCTTGGAGAAAAACAATCTGAATTACATAGCTAAAGAGACCCCTAAATAACTAGAATTCACAAGGATCTCCATAAAATTGTTAATGGGGAAAATAGCAAATATTCCAGGAATGCCCTTTAACTAGAACATCCCCTGTACCCCTTTCCCCACATATCGTACCAAACTAGACCTACAATAGCTTTCCTAAATTGACAGGTTCTGAAGGCTCATATATCTTTTATATTGGCATTAGACTTCATGATAACCCACATTACCCTAAAACTCTTTGTCTAAAAAGTTTCCATTGGCCTTGGCCTATGTGCCTCAGTGGGCTGGGCATGCACTGAAAGGTTGCAGGTTCAATTCCCAGTCAGGGCACATGCCCAGGTAGCAGGCTCATTGTCTCCCCCTCTCTCTCTAAGGAAAAAAAAAAAAATCAATAAAAAAGTCTTTAAAATAAAATAAAAAGCTTCTATTGGGCCTTTACCTAAATGTATTAGCAAGTTGAAAACAGGTAAAATTGCTCTTACTTTAAGTATTTCAAGCAAAAAATTTAGGTCGTACTTATTTCATCAACTAGAATTTTAGAAGGAACCACAGATATTTTCCTTACCTCACAAATAGTGAACGAGGCCAGCCACTCAAAAACCTAGGGAAATAGTTGCAAGCTAGACAAATATAAGCCCTGCTCTAAAAGAGTATACAGAAAAGAATACTTAATTAACTTAGTAACAGAGTTATGAGAAGATGCCACAGAGATCTAAATTCACCAATCTATCTAATGCACTCATTTTAAATCTGGGGAAGTGATCTACCCAAGAAAATTCAGTAAGTTATGGAAAAGCTTAAGGTTTTACTTTATTCCAAAATATTTAAAACTACCATTATTTTAAGAAATCCACCAAACCTTAATCCAACAGTGAATTCGTAATATAACAATAGTCTACTCAGTGACTGTACCTGGCATGAAAATTCAAAGCACTAAAGAAACAGGTGGGTAATCTGAATCTCATTTCTAGATCATGACCAAAAGTAATTTCTCTGGGATTTTGTACATTACATGGAAAAGGCTCCCAAGGACTAGTACCATAAGTGCATTTTGTAACATAAATCCTATGCAATTACAAGTTTGAAGTTTTATACCTGTGTGATGGTGAAGGAGCTTCAAATTGAGGCACTGTGCTATCCTCACTGACAGGAGAGTATACGCCACTCATTTCCTGAAAGCATAATTATTTGAATTATAGTAGGTACTTCAAACATAAGATGTAAAAATCAAAATCAGATATGATATTATATTATTTTCCAACCCCAGGTTTTTATCAGTCACTTTTTGTATCAACATCTAACTTTCTCAAGGCTTCCTCTCCATAGAGTGCTAAAGCAAGAGTATCCTAAAAAGTTAAGAGATAAGCCTTTTCTATGATACACAATCTTTAAAAAGTAGATACTCTTTAATAAATATTACTTATCACTGATAAAGCCACCAATGCAAAAAAAAAAAAGACAAATGTAAATATAGTTGGCCCTTGAACAACATGGGGGTTAGGGGCACCAACCCTCAAGCACCCTATATAACTGCTATAACTTTTGACTCCTTAAAAATGTCACTAATAATAGCCTACTAGTGACCAGAAGCCTGACTGATAACATAAACAGTCATTTAACACATATTTTGTGTATCATATACTGTAGTCTTACAATAAAGTAACCTAGAGAAAAGAAACTGTTATTAAGAAAATCACAAGGAAGAGAAAACACATTTATGGTATTTATTGAAAAGAAAACCCTGCATATGAGTGGATCTGCGCTGTTCAAATCTATATTCAAGGGTCAACAGTATTTTAAATGAGATGTACAGTACATTATGTGAACAGTGAACTGGCTAACCAATGATCCAGGTAAGTACCTATAGATAATTTTAAGATAAATATGCCAGTATGGTAACTGGATCATTAAGTTCAATTCTCTGAAGTACAAAAGAACAGAATGTGTCAGTCTCTTCTTTAAAAATATCCTCCGCAAACATTAAAAAAAGTAACACTTGACTCAATTTAGCTTTGTTTAATAAAGACTTAAACTCTAAGTTTTGATCATTAACCCAGAAGAAAAGGACCCCCCTAATCAAATATTACTGCATAAATTATGCCTCTGAATCATACCAACCTGGCTTCCTTTTTATGTCCTATATTTTGGTTCATAGAAATATAGCAAATTTTAAAATGCCACTAAAGATCCAGTCAAGCAGAATTTTTTCTGACTGATCCAAACTCAGTTCAATCATATAGCCAAGCAAGGGACATCAATATAGGTTAATGCCGCATGGAAACTGAAATTCCACTGATAGTACAACTCAAGGTCAATTAACATGTATCAGCAAAAGAAAAGTATAACATCTGTGAATAATTAAAAACATACAGTACATTTAAATACAGCTAAAGATAATGAGCCTCTCAAAGATCCTCCCATGGATTCCTATAAGTAAACCAGCATACTATAAATTCTTAAGATTATTGGTAACATATTCTCATCTTTTCTTTTAATTAACGCTAGTCCTAGAAAGGCACAGTAGATATATCTAAAAAATATTTACTTAGTAAAATAATGGAATTGTGACATCTTTTAAGATTAATAATTGAGGGTTTTGTGGGAGTTGATTTAAGTTAATATGAAGGCACACAATAAAGTTGAATAATTTTTTCAACCTGCCCCAAAATAATTATCGTAATAAAAAGCAGTGAAAACAAATTTAGAATACATTTATCATCAAAAAAGTGATGCTTTTTCTATAAAAAATGCACTTTCAATTAAAATTAAAGCAGTGGTTCTCAACCTTCCTAATGCCGCGACCCTTTAATACAGTTCCTCATGTTGTGGTGACCCCCAACCATAAAATTATTTTCGTTGCTACTTCATAACTGTAATTTTGCTACTGTTATGAATTGTAATGTAAATATATGATATGCAGGATGTATTTTCATTGTTATAAATTGAACATAATTAAAGCATAGTGATTAATCACAAAAACAATATGTAATTATATATGTGTTTTCCGATGGTCTTAGGCGACCCCTGTGAAAGGGTCATTCGACCCCCAAGGGGTCGCAACCCGCAGGTTGAGAACCGCTGGATTAAAGTAACATCTGTTACTTTTTATATAATGAAGCTCAATCCCATAAATTTAATGCAGCAATTTAAAGGAAAAGTGATAATTTCATGAAATTTAAAAATTGCCAGAGAAATTCTTGATATCTTACTTCCACTCTTTTAATATCCTCTTCCAAAACACTTAGCTCCTTCTGGATCTGTTCCAGTTGCTGCAGATAAAAGAGAAAAAAAAAAAAAAGCCTAAACCAAGCCATACTTGACAGCACCAAGATTATACAATAACTTCCACATCTGAAAAATGATTTCTAGAAAAGTAAGCACTATTGGTAAATTGTAGACAAAAGGATCTGTAAGTATTATGTTAAAATGTAAATGAAGGGACTTAATACATAAGAAAACAAAATGTACTTTTTAAATGTAAGAATTGACTTTGTAATAAAAAGATAAACGACAATGCGACTTACTAAAAATACAAGGCACCCAAAGAACCTCATTTCAATGTCAGCAATTAATGTCAGCATGTCACTTGTTAACCCATTTCAAAAATAAAAATTAGCCTCACAAAGCAATCCAAAATCAATCACAAGATAGCATCTTAACATTTCCTTCTTAAAAGCTTTAAGACATAGTTAAGATGTCTTACCTTTGCTATTGTAACCTATTGCTTCATAAGCTTTTCCCATGCCATTTAAATGCAAATATTTTAATTGTTGAATCACATTCAATACATTTAACCATTCCCCTCTCACCAAGTTTTTATTGCAAACTATCATAAGTATCTGAAACTTGAGTCTGAATTTCAAGTTTTATTAAGAAATTATTAAAAATGAAGTTATTAGAAAATAAAGAGTAGGCAATTCTTCACTATATAAAACAAAACAGCCTTCCAGAAATACAATACGTTTCAAATTCTATCACCAATATATAAGTTGCTGTCTTATTCTTAATTCAGCAAGTGGCAGAACTGGAGCTCAGATCAAGACAGCCTTCTTGCTCCAGAATTCATGCTGTTAACCACTATACTATACTACTTCTTGAAAACAGTACCTTATTATTTAACTTTCACTTCCTTAATGTTTGGTAAGGTTAAACAGTCTTTTACGGTTTATTAATATTAGGACCAGTCTCTTCTGTGACAGTACATACATGGTTGCTAATATAATTGATAACTTATTATTCAAATATTTACCAATCCTAAGCATTTTGCTAAGCCTTGGGAAGAACAGTATTTAGAAACTATAGCCCTTGCCCTCATAGAACTCAGTCTAAGGGAGATAGCAAACAAGTAACCAATTAGTTATAGCACAGTAAGCATGAGGAGGATGGTATGCACACAATTAAAGGAACATAGGTTGCTCCTAACCTAGATGGAAAACTCAGGGGCAGAGGACAGTAACTGGATAAGTGAAAGTACATCTGAAATTAAATGAAAGGCTGAGCCTTGAAGGACTAATAGAATTTTAACAGGTAGAAAACAGTTGGGAAATAGAGAATAAGCAGCGTAAATAATAATACATACAAAAGCTATGAGAACAAAAGCTCTGAGGAATAATAGATCTGAAGTTATGACAATGAACAAAATCCCCTAATGTCAACCAGCATAACCAGAAGAGATGAGAACAAGAACTGGATAGTAGGGAACACCAATGTTTAAGAGATGGGCAAAGGAAAGGGAGACCCTGCATAACTATCAAGGGCAAAGTGGTAGCCAAGAAACTAGTATAGATGCATACTAGAAACTTGAAGTGGGGTGTAAAAAAAAGCAATTAGCACTGTCATATGCTTTCAACTCTTCCATCTAATAAACTTTCCTCCACCCTAAGTTTTTTTTTATAATACTCCAAAACTACTTCAATCAGATGGCGTTCAAAACTGAACAAAAGAATACTGGTACATTTTCAGAAAATAGCTGGTTTAAAAAAAGAGCAGCAAAACTTAATATATAAAAATAACAATGAGATAACCATTGCACACCTATTAGATATCCAAAATCCAGAACACTGACAACACCAAACGATGATGAAGATGTGGAGCAACAGAAACTCTCATTTTCTGTGGTAGGAATGCAAAATGGTATAGCCACTTTGAAAAACAGTGTAGCAGTTTCTTAAAAAAGAAAAAATCAAACATACTCTTATCATATGATCTAGTAATTATGCTCCTTGGTATTTACTCAAAGGAACTGAAAACTTATGACCACAGAAAAACATGTTTATAGCAGTTTTATTCATAATTGCCAATCAACACATCTTTCAGAAAGTAAATGGATAAACAGTGTTACATCCAGACAATTGACTATTATTCAGTGCTAAGAAAAAATGAGCTGTCAAGCCTGAAAATACATGGAGGAAAATTAAATTAATGCATATTACTTCATTTTAAAAAGCAAATCCAAAAGGTTCTAAACTAAGAAAAAATAAACAAAATAAAATAAAAATCAATAAACTGCAT